TTCCTGTTTTAGATACAGGCTGCATGTTGCAAGTTTTAAATTAGAGATTTAGCGGTTGTTAATTTCAATTATGACTGATTTACTGAGGTTATTACAGTCAGTCAAGTTTGAGTTTGAATCAAAAGGTGATTAAGCAGTCTCAGTTTAGTTTGATGACCTGTGCTCAGAGGAATAACAGATTGTTGGTTCAGTTCAAGTTTTAAATAATACTGAAGTGTCAGTCATGTACTAGAGGTTTTACAACCTCGCCAATTCAAGTTTTAGATAATACTGAAGTGTCAGTCATGTACTGGAGGTTTTAGAACCTCGCCAATTCAAGTTTTAAATAATACTGAGGTGTCTGTCATGTACTGGAGGTTTTACAATCTGGCCAATTCAAGTTTTAAATAATACTGAGGTGTCACCATCATGTACTGGAGGTTTTACAACCTCGCAAATTCAAGTTTTAGATAATATTGAGGTGACTGTCATGTACTGGAGGTTTTACAACCTGGCCAATTCAAGATTTAAATAATACTGAGGTGTCAGTCGTGTACTGGAGGTTTAACAACCTGGCCAATTCAGGTTTTAGATAATTATACTGAGGTGTCAGTCATGTACTGGAGGTTTTACAACCTCGCCAATTCAAGTTTTAAATAATACTGAGGTGTCTGTCATGTACTGGAGGTTTTACAACCTGGCCAATTCAGGTTTAAGATAATTATACTGAGGTGTCAGATATGTACTGGAGGTTTTACAACCTGGCCAATTCAAGTTTTAGATAATACTGAGGTGTCAGTCATATACTTGAGGTTTAACAACCTCGCCAATTCAAGTTTTAAATAATACTGAGGTGTCAGACATGTACTGGAGGTTTTACAACCTCTCCAATTCAAGTTTTAGATAATATTGAGGTGTCACCGTCATGTACTGGAGGTTTTACAACCTCGCCAATTCAAGTTTTAGATAATACTGAGGTGTCAGTCATGTACTGGAGGTTTTACAACCTCTCCAATTCAAGTTTTAGATAATATTGAGGTGTCTGTCATGTACTGGAGGTTTTACAACCTCGCCAATTCAGGTTTTAATTAATACCGAGGTGTCACCGTCATGTACTGGAGGTTTTACAACCTCTCCAATTCAAGTTTTAGATAACACTGAGGTATCAGTCATATACTTGAGATTTAACAACCTCGCCAATTCAAGTTTCAATAATACTGAGGTGTCAAGTCATGTACTGGAGGTTTTACAACCTGGCCAATTCAAGTTTTAAAAATAACACTGAGGTGTCTGTCATGCACTGGAGGTTTAACAACCTGGCCAATTCAAGTTTTAAAAATAACAGGTGTTTTTTTTTGTGCTGTCACTTAGACTTGGAATAGAAGTTTTATTTGATATAATATATCTCTGTGGCAGTGTCAGGTTAATTCAGGAATAATTCTTTCATGCCATGTTCTACACTCATTTCAATATGAGTAGGCATTATATTTGTTAAAATCTTTATACCGATTTAAGTGTTAAATGTTGACAAATATAATGCCTACCGATCATGCAATGTTAAAATGAGCATAGAGCATGGCATGGATACTAATTGAGCTCAACTCTGTTATACTTATAGCATGGTTACAGGTAGACAAGATAAACAGGTAAACACTGGCAATAGATAATAAGTAATTAATTTAGTTTTAAGCAAATTGAACAGTGTTACATAAGTCTCATTAATAAATAGTTTTAAGTGTTTCAAATGGTAAGTTTGATAAATTTATTGACTATTGTCATGCTCACTTTATTTCAATTGTTTTTACAGTTTATTGCATTTTGGAAGGCATTGGGTTGAGAACCACAAATGTGTTTAACGCATGCCTCTACATTATCATTATGTTAACTTGTCCATTTACAATATTCTAATGTTAGTAATGTCTTTTTTGGACTTTCTATCTGTCTGGGCATGCAATATCATGAACCTGTAAGTCTGCAGAACACTTCATGATAATACTAGCCTTTCACTTCATCTTCTGGTCTCTCTTGCTGGGATTACCTAGTCTCATTGGCTATCAAAGCATATGTCCTTGTTAATGTGTATTTGAATAGAAAAATAGACATATCAGCTATAGTTTTCAATGCTAGAAAATTATAATATTTTAGTGTTGTTTGGTAACTGCCTCTTTGACGTTTATCCAAAATCTCTTATATTCATAAAAATATATATGGAAACGTGAAATATACTAACTATCATTTATGTTGAATCAAATGATTGTTGCTGTATGTATTAGATAAACTCTTATTCATATAAAAATATTTCATGGCATTTAATAACATAGTTATTTACTAGTAAAAGTGGTTTTATCCAGCTACCAGAGCTATGCAGGTAGTTTATAGGTTGTGGTACATACAAATGCTTTTACCGAACTTATGTAAAAGTATACAACAAGTTAATATGATTATTATAAGCACGTTCATAATGTATGTTATACATGAAACAGCAGCTGTTACAAAATATTTTTTAAACAAGATGTATAAAATCTGGCTTAGTTAGCAAATAAAAAATAACTCTCTTGAATAAACTTATAATATTACATTTGTGTAAACAGACCATTTCTAATCAGACGTAATCTGAACTTTTCACTTTTCAACTTAGATGAGTATCTAATGTTACAGAAAAGAGCAGATATGGTGTATCAATTCATGACTAAAAAAATCAAAGCAAACAAACAGCGCTTTCACTTGCTATTCTTCATCTCAAAGTTGCAGAGAGTCCTTCAACATGGAGAAAAAAAAATGTCTCTTCTTACCCTAAGTTAAAGAGCAATTAACCCTAGCATGGGCTTGATGTGACTGTTGGTCTGGTTCATTGAAATAAGGTGTAAATTGATGTCACAGTTTGTCTGGTTTATTGAAATAAGGGGTACATTGATGTCACTGTTGGTCTGGTTCATTGAAATAAGGTGTACATTGATGTCACAGTTTGTCTGGTTCATTGAAATAAGGTGTACATTGATGTCACTGTTTGTCTGGTTCATTGAAATAAGGTGTACATTGATGTCACTGTTTGTCTGGTTCATTGAAATAAGGTGTACATTGATGTCACTGTTGGTCTGGTTCATTGATAAAAGGTTAACATTGATGTCACTGTTGGTCTGGTTTATTGAAATAAGGTGAACATTGATGTCACTGTTTGTCTGGTTCATTGAAAGAAGGTGTACATTGATGTCCCTGTTTGTCTGGTTCATTGAAATAAGGTGTACATTGATGTCACTGTTTGTCTGGTTCATTAAAATAAGGTGTACATTGATGTCACTGTTTGTCTGGTTCATTGAAATAAGGTGTACATTGATGTCTCTCTGGTTTATTGAAATAAGGTGTACCTTGATGTCCCTGTTTGTCTGGTTCATTGAAATAAAGTGTACATTGATGTCCCTGTTTATCTGGTTCATTGAAATAAGGTGTACATTGATGTCACTGTTTGTCTGGTTCATTGAAATAAGGTGTACATTGATGTCACTGTTTGTCTGGTTCATTGAAAGAAGGTGTACATTGATGTCACAGTTTGTCTGGTTCATTGAAATAAGGTGTACATTGATGTCACTGTTTGTTTGGTTCATTGAAAGAAGGTGTACATTGATGTCCCTGTTTATCTGGTTCATTGAAATAAGGTGTACATTGATGTCACTGTTTGTCTGGTTCATTGAAATAAGGTGTACATTGATGTCACTGTTTGTCTGGTTCATTGAAAGAAGGTGTACATTGATGTCCCTGTTTGTCTGGTTCATTGAAATAAGGTGTACATTGATGTCACTGTTTGTCTGGTTCATTGAAATAAGGTGTACATTGATGTCACTGTTTGTCTGGTTCATTGAAATAAGGTGTACATTGATGTCTGTCTGGTTTATTGAAATAAGGTGTACCTTGATGTCCCTGTTTGTCTGGTTCATTGAAATAAGGTGTACATTGATGTCACTGTTTGTCTGGTTCATTGAAATAAGGTGTACATTGATGTCACTGTTGGTCTGGTTCATTGAAATAAGGTGTACATTGATGTCACTGTTTGTCTGGTTCATTGAAATAAGGTGTACATTGATGTCACTGTTTGTCTGGTTTATTGAAATTAGGTGTACATTGATGTCACTGTTTGTCTGGTTTACTGTAAATTCAGAAATTATTGCTATGTTTTTATTATTGCGAAAAATGAGACAGGGTTATAATCGCAATAATTTAAACTCGCATTTTCAAATTTTTTATATGAATTAAACAGGATTTTTCTCAATATCGCAAAAATTAAAATCGCATTTTAGTCTAAAATGACAAAATCGCAATAATAAATGCACGCAATAATTTCTGAATTTACAGTATTGAAATAAGGTGTACATTGATGTCACTGTTTGTCTGGTTCATTGAAATAAGGTGTACATTGATGTCACTATTTGTCTGGTTCATTGAAATAAGGTGTACATTGATGTCACTATTTGTCTGGTTCAGTGAAATAAGGTGTACATTGATGTCACTGTTTGTCTGGTTCATTGAAATAAGGTGTACATTGATGTCACTGTTTGTCTGGTTCATTGAAATAAGGTGTACATTGATGTCACAGTTTGTCTGGTTCATTGAAATAAGGTGTACATTGATGTCACTATTTGTCTGGTTCATTGAAATAAGGTGTACATTGATGTCACTATTTGTCTGGTTCATTGAAATAAGGTGTACATTGATGTCACAGTTTGTCTGGTTCATTGAAATAAGGTGTACATTGATGTCACTATTTGTCTGGTTCATTGAAATAAGGTGTACATTGATGTCACAGTTTGTCTGGTTCATTGAAATAAGGTGTACATTGATGTCACTATTTGTCTGGTTCATTGAAATAAGGTGTACATTGATGTCACTATTTGTCTGGTTCATTATGATTGTCCATTAACAAGAATAATGAGCTGTACAAAGTCATGAGCGTTTATCTTGTCAAACAAGCTGTACTTAATAGATACATGGCTTGATTTTAGTTATATAATAACACTGTTGTTTTTCAGGAGGTGGCAGCTATACTGACCGCATTTGACAAGCATAAAGAATGGATGTCATTAGAGGTCAAAATCAGGTAGGTTTCACCAGCGTTTCAAATTATATTCCTAAGAGTCTTATCAACTGCCAAAAACTGTGAAAATTGTCAGATGTTAGAAGTAAAAGTAACTATTTCTCTTTGTTACAATATACATTTTTAGTGTGCATAACAAACTTATTTGGAAAGTGTCCCTTTCTCATTTGTTGCGTTAAATTCCCAGTCTTTACATTCTACACAGAAAGTGAATGAAAATTCATTAATGAAAGCAGCTTGTTATCCCATGCCTATTATTGTGTTAAATCAAGTGTGCTCTCAAGCATTTATAGTAAAACAAAATAATTTGAAATAGCAGACCAACAGAACTTTGTTGTGGTTAAGTGAATTATAAGGAAATTGAGTTATCTATCTTGTATTGTCAAGGCTCTTTTTTGAGTTTCTTAACAAGCGGAAACCCAGTTGAAATTAAACAAAAGAAATGGAACTCTTTGTTAGAGAAGGTAAAAAAGCAAAATTAGTATATTTGGATTGTTTACATCTGTTTCTATGGGCTTTCAAATTTTAATAAAGATGCATAATTTAGGATTTTATGCATCTTATATAAGTGTTTTTACTTGAATTATAGTATGGAGCTTCGAGATATTTGTAAAGTTTTAAATTACAGACAAATTTTCATAAAACAGTTGATTGTGGCAGGTTCAAATCGAAGTTGACCTTTTTAGTGCATAAGCATAAATTCCGTAAAAAAAATCCACAGAAAGATAATAGATTGATCTTTCTAAAGCATTAATTAGTAAGTTTTTTGTGAAAAAATCCTCAAATTGGACAATAATTGCATCGAAAAGAGAAAGTCAAGTGCACCTTTTCATTTTCGGGGGTGTTTGGGTTGACTATTCTGTCTTCAAAACGTAGAAAGCACAAATATTTGATACACCATCTCGCTTCAAATTCTTTTATTTTTATATATTTAGGCACAGCTTGATTTAATAACATTAAAAAATCACAATACATGTAATAAAAAATGAAATATATGGGTCAAGTGAAATACTTTTCTGATGAGTCATAAAAACAGTGTAGGTGTGTTCGAATAACAAATTTTAACTAAAAGTACTTGATGACGGCCTTTTCAACTGGATCTTTAAAATGCATAACTTCAAAAAAACTTCATTTTTAGTGTGTGTATTCTGGAGTAATTAGTCTTCAACCTCTGAAAATTTTTAGTCCACGAAATATTTAATTAGAATTTTTTAAAATGTTTTTGAACTTTCGAAAATTCTACATGACAACCAATCAGAATATAGTTTTAAGTTGACTGAATGCAAAAAAGTACATAAAATGATCCTCAATAGCTAGCAGATAGATACATTTGTCTTTTAAAATACAACTGGCATATAAGGATCGTAATGGTGCTATGTAGATACATTTATCGGTTTTCAAGAGCTAAATTGGCAGCGCGTCATCCCGACAATGGCTTCCATTTTTAAGATTGTAAAAATTGACTAGTGTAATGGGGTGATAATTTTGACGAAGTAGAATCCTGACTGTTAAAAGCTACGTCAGCAAAGAAAATATTTTTTGAACATTAGATTTAAATTGTGCTGTAAAAATTACTTATAGAATTTAAGATTATTTAAGATAGATATATAATAATGATTAACCTGCTGATAATTGTTTTTTTTAAATACTTTAATTTTAGAAATATTATTTACACTTTTTAAATAGAACAGGTAAATTGTGGGTTATCTTCTGGATTTATGAATTTTGATGTGGATACCGTAAAAATGAGTATTTGCACACTTGTACCATGTGGATATGGTTTTGTTATAGTTTTAAAGAATAATAAAATTGGTCTGAAGTAGGACAATTTCTTTCAAAATTAATCATGACCTTTTTATTCATTTTGAAAAGTAAAAAAGAATTATTTCTCCTTAATAGGCCCCCAAGTGGTTCTATGATACTGTACAGCAGAAAGAAAGTCAGATACAAAAAGGATGGTTACTGCTGGAAGAAAAGAAAAGGTGGAAAAAATATAAGAGAAGATCATATGAAGCTCAAAGTTCAAGGGTTAGAGGTAAGTCATAAAGATAATTCCATGTCACATAGATTTCACTGGAGAAAACCAAAATTTGTAGAATGATTCTTTTTCAGGGACAAATATTTAATTTTTATTGTGTTACCTGACAACCGGTTGTAGCCACACATAGGAATAACTTCTGTTATCTTGAGATGTTGTCTGCATCTCACTTTGTTTATCTGCAACTTTTTTAGAACAACTTGACAAAATTCTCCCAAACTTGCTCAGAATTCCTCTACAGGTCTTGAAGTTGTGAACCTATTTTAATTTTTAATCAGGGATTTTTTTTTTATTTTTCCATATCAGATTATATTATAAAGAGAAGGTAATCACACACATGTGTTGGAAGTCCCACACATTTTTTGTCACAAGAATCATCAATAACAAACTAAAATTTAAAAAACAATGCATACTTCGTAACCATAGATTACCTATTTTTCATAATGATTCCTAATTAAAGAGTATCTGATATTTCCCTTTACTAAATATTGTGAAATATATTATCTTTTTATTTTCAGTGTATTTACGGTTCCTATGTACATTCAGATATTCTACCAACTTTCCATAGAAGATGTTACTGGTTGTTACAGGTAAGTAAAACACGTATATTAGTGTGAGGGTTTACTGACAATTCCTTGATATATTCCAGGATTTCTTTGCACATAAAACATCAGTATTAGAAAAAAAGTATAGCTACTCGAAGATATTTTGTGTGTATGAAGATAATTGTCATAATTGTAGAAGCAACGTTTCATGGTTTTTGAAGTGCAACATTACATTAAATTGACTCTTAACACAATCAATGCCATTTAATCACAGTGCTAAAGAATGTACTGTTCACCAAAACATGTCTGTATAGTATACATTCAGAACACTGTACTTACGTGTGCAGTAAAACATGCATAAATCATGTCTGGTGTATCCATGAAGTCTATCTAAACTTATTTCTTGAATAAGGGCATACAATAAATATTCTGTTTTTATTTAACCTTTATCAGATACCTGTTTAATCTGAACAAAATTTTCATTCTCCTGCACATGTACAGTTTTCTTTGTATTTTAATAAGCATGAAATGGTGTATTTTTCAGAACCCTGACATTGTGTTAATTCATTATTTAAATGTCCCCTATCCTGATGATGGCAAGGTAAAAATTCCCATGATGCCTTGTTCTGTAGAGAAGAAAGAATGGACAAAAGAAGAATTAGTAGAACAGCTAAGACCAATGTGTATGTATTATAGAATACTGTGGATTCATTTATTGTCACAGATACCAATCCGTTGATTGATAAAAATTGTATTTTTGATGGTTTTGCCACAGTCTGTATACCAGCCTATAGAAAATTTACTTCGTTGAACATTTGAATTAGGGGGTTTACCTATACCCACAAACTACACGAAAATGTTTATCCCACAAATAATAATGAATCCACAGTATACAATAAAATTTACAATCTTGCTTGAACTGTTTTCTTCATTAGAGAAAATTCAGTATAAAGTTTTGTTTTGTGCTTTTGGCCATCTTATCAAAATTTATATTTTAAAGGGAGATAATAAATTGTGTGAAATTGGAAATTATTGTAAAATATAAACCTTTGACTAAAATGTGAGTTTTATCAATGTATCTTAAATATAATACTTATATATACTGAGATCCCGAATCTTCATTTATTTCTACATTACATATCCAAGTTATATGTGTTACATATAACGTGCTACTTCAATAATGTGACAGCTAAAATTCTTGAGAATTAGTTTGCTAAAAAATTAAACAAAACATAGTACTGGTTATAGCTAATATTTTTCAAGTTTTCAATTTATGGATACAAAAGAAAACAAAGGATATGGGGTATCCATCCATGACACATTATCAGTACATGCACAGCAAAAAACACAAAACGCAAAGGAACAGCGCTTTTATTGCTGTTCTTCATATCAAAGTCACAGTGAGGTCTTCAACACGGAGCAAAAAAATCTCACCTCACTGCAAGTTTAGGTAGGCCCCTAGCACTGGTTTGAGCGTAATTCTTTGCAAACTGATGATCACACCACAACTGTGAATTGAAGAAAAAAGCCATGAAGTAATATTGTCAAAATAAATCTGGCAAAGAAATCAAACTGTCATATAAACTTAGCCTGACAATCACACTGAAGGGTGCAAAATCACAACAAACAGTTAGACAACCACAGGGCACATAGAGATATATGTTAGATAACTTAACAGGAAATAACATTTGTATAGGGCAAATAATTCAGGTAGATTTTTTAAGATATAACACCAGCAGCTTGGGCCCAGTCAAAAAAGAACATACCCGAAAGTAGTAAATATTTAAAACAAAATAGTTCCTATGCATACAGCACATTTCATACTTTTTTTTACATTTCAGTTTCTGCTGGAAGCTCAGATCAAATGGTTAGTGCTTAAACATTAAGATAGTTTAATCGATTGTTATGTGGCACGAAACATTCCTGTTTAATATGTAAAATCTATACATTGTATAGTAAGGAACATGGAATGAAAAGTTTAGTATTAAAATTTGAAAAGTGACAACTGAACTAAAGGAGTGTGTAAAATCTACAATAACTTAAGGTTTGCTTGCTATTGTATCAAGGAGGTTCAAGTTTGATTTTCAGCTATGGACATTTTCACAAGGGGTATAGTTTTTCATTCAAATGAAGGGATCAAGATAAAAAATATACAACTACCTGAATTTTATTTCTACGGAAGATCAGAGAGTTAAAGACAAGAAAAATATGAAATTGAAACCACTTGAACAAGTTTGGTTTTAGAAATTTGTGAAAACTAAAATGTGTTTAAATGAACTACTTTACAGTACTGTAAATTCAGAAATTAATGCGAGGTTTTTATTAATGCAAATACTGCGACTGAATGAGTATCGCAATGATAAGAACTCGCATTTTTATATCTGATACATCCAACTGCATGCAGATTTTCTTGAAATCACAATAATTAATCTCGCATTTAAGTCCATTCTACAAAATTCGCAATAATAAATGCACATAATAATTTCTGAATTTACAGTAATCAAATAATGGAACAGGTAACAAAAACATGTCTGATAAGTTTGACCAGTTATTGTATAAATATTCATCATAGTTCACATAACATAGTTTACCTTAAAACATACTCAGTTTAGCAGTTAACTAGATTTTCATCATTCTTCCATTGTTATTTTAATAAACAGTGAATCTAACTACGAAAACCAATATACAAGCACTTAATTCAGTCAAGCTGGCATTAGAGACATCCAACTACACATTGACAATAACATCCTAAGATATCTTGTTTTAACAAAGCTAACCGTTGGGAGTTCTCCAAGTATAAATTCCATGCAGATAACCTTCTTTTTTATTCATTGCTCTGTAAGCTGCTAATATCTCAATAGTATTTCACTACAAACAATATTTGAATCCCACGCATCAAAGTTGTGTAGGTTACTATGCTTTTGTTAGTCTGTCAGTCCTGTTCTTGTCATTTCAACTCCTCTGAACCCACACAACAGAATTTCAGAAAACTTTGTAGTTAATGAGGACATGATATGTAGATGTGCATTTATTATATTTTCATTAATTTATTTTATAGATTTTTAGAAAACAAACTTTTACATTGATTTATTTATTTACAGCTAGAAGAAACAGTAGAAAAACTTGTGAAGCACCTTATACAGTACCATGAAAGTCAAGACAAGTCCAAAGGTCAAAATATAGGATACAAGAAGATAAGTTGTCATTCCAAGCCAGGAGATGGGGCCAGTTCAACAGGGGATCCATCTTCGGCCTCTATTCCTGATGATTCTCAGTGTAAAGACATTTTAATGAACACAGTTTGCCAGCTGAATGCTAAAACACAACAGTCTTTCCCTCAGGCAAACCATCCAAGACATTCAGGAGTCTTACATATCCAGCCTAAAGACAGTGATTCTATTCCTTGCTCACAAAATCTCACTCAAGCTCCATTTTTGCTCAGTGTGAGTCAGTTGCCAACGACGAGTTATTTGCTGCTGAGTGGAGGAGGAGTAGCCTCGAACACTGTTTCATCAGTCACCGTAACATCTGGTTGCCAACAGCAACCAATTCCTCATGTTTTGGACCAGCCCATTAATCATATGTCTCATCCTATCCAAGTACCTCACAATATTCCGGGGCAGCTGAATTTATTTGCTCATCCTAACTCTACAGATCCTGATCCTCATAAAACACAAATGGTATATTCTGAGGCACAGAATTTTATGCCTACTTCCTGTACACAGACTAAAACAGATACTGGACATGTGCCTCATCTAAGGAATGTGTCGGCCGATGATATACAGGATCTCATACATTCATCATATCCTGTGGAAACAACTAACAATTACCCTAACTTCCCACAAGTATTGAGTGACAATAACAATACAGGGTTGCCATTGACAACATCTGACTTCAATATTCTAGATAACTTAGATTTTGAGATTTCTGAAATAGAAAAACTTTACAATGATCTCAGTGGACAGCCAGATACTCACAGATTGAAAGGCAATGGCATTCATAAAAATAATACATGTGATCAAGAATTAACCAATGAAATTAACTTATTTAACAGTGACCTTGTTCAGTCATGTCAAGTTCAACCTGAACAAAATTTTCCAGACATATCAGCTATCTGTGATAACAAGACTGTAAATAATGGTAAAGGGTTGTCAGGACAAAAAGGGGAGGAACAAAAAATCCTGGATTACTCTCCAGAGTGGTCAAAATCTCAGGTATGTATGAAAAAATCCTGGATAATTCTTCATTGTGTGATCAAGTTCTCCGGTTTGAACCAAAGAACTGGAAGATTCTCACTCTAAAGTTGTCAAAGCATAAAATTTGTCTAAAAATAATTATGGAATTACTCTAAGAAATTGCTCAAATTCTTTGGTACGTACAAAAAATCATGGATTACTTTTCATTGTAGTAAGGGACTTAGGACCAAAAATATAAAAAGGACTTTGAAGATGCCAAAGCCCTATAGTTTTCACTTTATATAAAAGTATGAAGATGTGGTATGGTTGCCATTAAGACAACTCTCAACCAGAGACCAAATGACGTAGAAGTTAGCCTCCAATGGTCACTGTACAGCCTTCAACAATGAGAAAACCCATACCCCATAGTAAGCTATAAAAGGCCCCGGAAATGACAAATGTAAAACAATTGAAACGACAAAAGTAACGGCCTGTATGTCTATATCCTTCCGTTTGTGAGATTATTGGCCATAATTTTTGTGAATGCAGTCTCCAAAAGAAGAGTTAGAATGTTGATGGAATTTTGAACATTTGTTGTGCAGATAATGTACATATATTTTTTGTGAAAATTGTAAATCACAGAGAGAAGATAACAAAGGGATAATAAAAAAATCATAAAGTCAATGAAATAAGACAAGATCAGGGCAAAATTGGAAAAAAAAAGGATAAAGAGAGAAAAGTTTGGCAAAATAAAAAGGTTAGAAAGACAAAACCATTGCAAAATGAGAAAAAAAAATAAGAATTTAGACAAAATCATTTCAAAAAACAATAAAAATTAATAAAAAGACAAATCAGTCTATACCAAACTTTACAAAGAAAACTAAAGAATGAACATCAAATACATAAACATTTAAAGTGCTAAGATTTTAAGGAAATTGATATATAGGTAATAAACTATATCATGAATTGATTTCTGGTGTCAAAATTGTCCATCAGCTTCCATTTTCAAAATATTTGATGGCCCCTTTTTTCAAAATATATTATTTGTTTCTGGGCTAAAAATAGAATTAAAATTGTTTAATGTTTGCGACCTACCCACCACCTAAAATGCAGCCTACCTGACAAAATTTTATGACAAATCGTTTCAAATTTTTTTTTTTAAAGTTTTTTTTGTGCTCTTACATCATTTTCTTGTCTAAAACATGTAACTTATGTTGTTGGCCACTAAAAATAACACTAAAAAATGAAAAAATCCCTACCTTCCTACCCAGCCCTGCAGGGCATGGGTAGGCAACATCGAGCAAAGAATTTGTTTAGGGTGGCCCTGTCCTCGCTCATATTTGAGTAATTGTCATTGTGAAAGGACAAATCCTTATGAAAACACACAGTAAAAAGAAGTGTTTTCCACCAAAGTGTGGTAATTACAATGACAAAAAATTGGAACAATTTTGCAGATATTTAATGTACTTAAATTTCATGTGTACAATTTACTCATTCAAAAAGAATGTACCATTAATTACATTATATTAGATATGTTAAAATTTTATATTGCAGGGAGGAGAAAAGGTATTAGTTGTAGGCCCGTGGTGTTCCTTGTCGTCTCATTATTTGTGTTTATTTGATAGTAAACCGGTACCAACAACATTAATACAGCCAGGTGTACTGAGGTGTCATTCTCCAGGTAGGTACTAACAGAAATAAGGTAAATAGGCATTTAAGCATAATCACAAAATTAATTTCACTGTGTATTTTATGCATGTTGTTTATTTAAGAAAATGGTTTGTTAAAAAAATAATCACTTCAGGGAAATATACTGTGATATACAGACTTTCCATATTTAGAAAAATAGATTCTTAGGGACGGATTGCAGTTATGAGTCGCAATATTTATATTTCTTTAAAAAAATGTAATGTTGGCATGGAAACGAATGATTTTGGCACAAGAAAAAATTGATACTCACAAGAAAAAATTGAATCCACAGTATTACACATTTTTTAATTCAAATTCAATTTCTATCAGATTCTATACCACTAATGGAATATTCTCAAAGTAGTGAGTGAATTTTTTATTTATGAGAAATACCAGTTTTGAGATCAAGATGACATTAAAATTTGTTTAGAATTATTAAATATAAGAGAATTGTTTATTTTTCAGCACACCATGAAGGAGTAGCATCATTACAAGTCAGCTGTGATGGTCATGTGATCTCAAATTCAGTACCATTTAAATATCTGTCACGTGATGATAAAAATAAACACAAAAATAACTGGTTCTCTATTTCTGGTAAGAATCATTTTCCATATGGTATGTGTTGAAAGTACCTGTATTATTTCATTGGTCCATGACCTCTTTTTACATATTTCTATACATCAGTAATGTGTTGTGTATTGATATAGATATTAAAGGCATCAACTTTTTGAACCTTGAAAATATGAGATCTCCCTCTTACAAAAAAGTTTTGTATGCTGATTTACTTAGCTTGAATAATTCATTCGCACCCCGTGATTGACTCTCCCACTCACCAGGGCCTGAACACTTTATACAGTAAAAAATTGTCATGAATCAATGATTTTGATAAACAATTTGGATTGGAGAGCCAGATCAGCTGGTCGCTTTATAATGTTATCTATATAGGTGTCTCCCAAGCTTATTCCTAATGATTTTTTCTTATTTTTTTCTATGACTGCTATTAATATAAAAATTCAAAGCAAAAATAGTTTTTTTTCCATTCATTCAATATATGTATTGTATATTATATATTGTAAGTGCCACAAAAGTTGGAAAACATAGTTTTTACAGTAAAATTTCCTTCTTTTGTAGATGATGAACTTAAGCTCTTGTTGTTAGAAAGACTATTTGTGATACAGGAAAAACTGAAGAAATCAATGTCTCGTCAACCTATCCAAAAGGTACGTTGTATCCAGTTACTCAGTTACTTATCAGTGGTAGTATGTTGTATCAAGTTACTCAGTTACTTGTCAGTGGTTGTAGGTTGTATGCAGTTCTCAGTTACTTATCAGTGGTTGTATGTTGTATCCAGTTACTCAGTTACTTATCAGTGGTCATATGTTGTATCCAGTTACTTAGCTACTTATCAGTGGTAGTATGTTGTATCCAGTTACTGAGTTACTTGTCAGTGGTTGTAGGTTGTATGCAGTTACTCAGTTACTTATCAGTGGTTGTATGTTGTATTAAGTTACTCAGTTACTTAGCAATGGTTGTATGCTCAGTCCAGTTACTCAGTTATTTATCAGTGGTTGTATGTTGTATCCAGTTACTCAGTTACTTATCAGTGGTTGTATGTTGTATCCAGTTACTCAGTGATTTATCAGTGGTTCTATGTTCAATCAAGTTATACAGTTTGAAGTCTTACAGAAATAAGTGTGGACACAATATACCAAAAGAAGCTGCTTATTTTTGTGTTGCATGTGACTAGAGGCTAAGATGTACTGTTTCAAGCTGCATCAACCATGGTATTTATTTGATTATCAATATAAAGATGCTGTCCAAAATAGTTCTGTTTTCTTTTACAGCTGAAAGAAGAAATAAAAGCAGATCATTTTGAAAAGAAGGTTGTTTTATATGTAAAATCGTTAATTTCCAAGCCCTGGGGCAACATGACAGTGTTTCCAAAACAAGGAAAGCGTAACATGACATTACTTCACATAGCAGCAGCCCTCGGGTATCAGGCATTGGTTCATTCACTCATTGTATGGAGGTAGGTAGAAACTAGTAAATTTTATAAGACTCATGATAAAAAGCATACGCTCACTTGTAAATCATTTTGTCAATGCAGATTCAGTAAATTTTTGTACTCATAAAAATTCATGTACCAGGTAATAAAAGCTTTCAATCCCAGTATAATTTACAATTGGTTTTGTCTTATATATTGTTATTTCACAGATGATCTTATTTTGTTTTGGGCCAGGATAGTTTGTATAATTAGTATGAGACGAGTGTGATGTATAATTTCAGGACAGATAATCCCTCCTGGGTACTGGACTGTCAGGTAGATTCTCATGCATTGGATGATATGTCATGTACACCATTGGTAAGTATTCACACATTGAAGGAATAGCAGTACTATAGTTGAAGAGTTGCCCCCGTCAATTGGCGATTTGATGGTCACAAATGCAATTTTACTGGCCACAGATATTTGCGACAGACAAATCCAAATTGACCATGTCTACTCTTCAAATAGGGTACTGTTATTCCTATTCTAATGCATTGCAAAAAGAAATTGTACATTAGAGCTTGTAAAACTGTATAAATATATGATAAATAAAATTTTGTGAAACTCCATGTATGATTTTGGCACGTAAACATCATGGCAAAACAGGATATCATACAAATGAAAACTTTCAAACCAAAGATTATTTTGTTACTTGTTTGATTCAGATTTGGATAAGATCTCATTGAAACAGCGCTTTTAGTTAGGTTATGTTTTATTATTGATTTTATTGTATTTATCAAACATTTGTGAATTCCAGCAATACAAAATGGGGGCCCACAACATGTCAATTGTGGATTTGACAGTAAATTTTATCCAATGAAAAAAATTGTAATATAAAGATTGCATTAGAATACTTCATTTAAAAGTTTACATTATAGTGATCTATAGGCAATATATTACATGAATATTCAGTGATTCCATTTTGCTGATACAATTATTATGTTGATAAGTTTTTATACATCTTCCATTTTGAGAATGACAAATGGGGACAGGAGGGATTCGTTGTTTGGAAAAAGTTTTTAGTATAACTTTGTAGTTTTGATTTTAATTTACAGTTTCTCATTTACTCATTATAATAAATTCTATACCACTGATTTAACATTTCAGGTATGGGCATGTGCAAAAGGTTACATATCAACAGTGCAATTCCTCTACCATTGGAATCCTGATTCAATACATATCATGACCAAAGATCAATTGTCTCCTTTTGCAGTTGCTAAAAAATTTGGTCACATCTCAGTTGTCAATGAGTTGTCTTCCCTTACAGGGAAATCTAGCAACCTGTCTTCCCCTTCAAAACAAATAGATTCTTCCAAGGCTTATATTACCCCTGCTGATAAAATGGAAGATAATAGTGTGTTCAAGTCACCAAATTCTGTGTTGGGAAGTCTACATATAGACATTCCAGGCCAGTATGTGCAGTCAATGAAAAGCAATAGACCTAAACATTCCCTGCAATCTAGTCGACGTAAACTTGCCAAGCATTTCTCCATTGATTGTACACCAGAAGATTTCAGTTATACGCCACCTAGTCAGTATGAAAGGCCAGTCAGGGAAACTAACTCTGAACCTAGACTTTGTTCAGTCTCAAGTGCTTTGACGAGTACAAAAAATCCAATGCTTTACAATCCTGGAAGAGATCTGACCTCTCCAGACATATTAATTAAACCAGACGAGGACCACAAAACAGCAATGGACCATACTGAAACACCATCAGTCCATGTAACAGGAACTACTTGTGTAGAAATGGACACAGGTAATATCGCATTGTGGGTAATGGCTCAGTATGTTTGCAATATTTAGCATGTGTGAATTAAAATTTACTAATTAAAAGTTTTTTTATATAAGATTTAATGAGGCACATTTGATATTTTGAGCTTGGTTTGTGAAATGGATATTTTTATATATGTTAAAGCATCATGTGTTATACTGAAAATGTAATAATGTAATACCCACAGTATCATGACATTTGAATTAAATATAATTATATTTTGCATGGTTTGGTATATGTAATTATTATGCTAGTGCTATGTGTGGTAACAAGCCATATTCCTGAACAGCATTTTAAAGAACAAAGTGACTTTAACATCTGTGATAAGGTGTAAATCTTTTCTTTGTTATATATAGACATAGTTAGAATTGAATCCATACCTTTCATTATTTTTCTATAATAAATATATAGGCCTTGTTCCTCTAAGCATTACTTACATTCATATGAAGTGTCTTATTACCAGCAAAACAACAAAAGAAATCCTGTACAGTATAGAATAGCATAAAAAATTCTTGATTTTTATTAATTAGAGAAATTCATATACACCAACTAAAGTTCACTGATAGAAAATAGCAACAAATAGGTCATTGCCAGTTAATTAAATAGTAGCAAATAGGTCACTAACAGTAATAAGCAGCAAGTAGGTCACTGACAGGTATTTGCAGCAAAAATAGCACTGAAAATTTATTAGCTCCAAAAGAGCATTAATAAAATAGCAGAAAAAAAAGTCCATGACAGTTATTAGAAGTAAAAGGGTCACAGACCTAATTAAGTAATAGTAAGAAGATCACTTACAGTAAATAGTAGCATAAAAGTCACCGTCAATTAATGACACATGAAAAGTCACTGACAGTAAAAACAGTAAAATTCTAATTGCTTCTCAAAATATCACTGACAGTTTATAGGGGCAAATAATACTGGTAGCAAAAAGGTCAAGAAAGTCCATAGCAAAAAAGATTTTAGAGTGTGAAAACTGCTGGTAGTAAATAAAATAGGACTTGCAATGATTGACAGAAAATAGTAAAAAATGTGAAAATGAATTGGATTTTATCTCACAATGTTTGATTTGATTAACAGTTTGAAGTGTTTGCATGCACTTGATTTCAGATTTGGATGACAACATGTCCGATGAATCCTTCTCAAGTCAAGGGAGCCCGTATATTGATGTGGAACGTTTGTCTTCTGATGACGAGGGTCATGCCACTAGAAATAGAACAGATAGATTATCTATCAGTAAGGGATATAATCTGTTTGACAGGATTTTATGTAATATTTACTTAATTTGTAAAATTTTAGTTTTTATTATCGTGGAATTTGACTGAAATTACAATTCTTGGAATGTTGTACACCCTACTCTAAAAGTGGGGCCATATTGCATTTACCTTGTCTGTATGTTGGTCTGTTTATTTTTCCAACAGATTATTTGGTCACACTTTTCTCAGGTACTACTGGACAGCCTGACTTTATATTTGTTTAGCAACTTAAATTGATGAGTTATAACATGTAAGCACTTTTTGGATCTGTCGGACAACAACTTCCTGTTTCCTGATACTTTGAATTTTTTCAATATATTGAATGAGCTTTAAATTTTTCGTCACATTTTTCTCAAGTACTACTGAATAGAAAGTGTTTGAGTTTGGTCAGCAGCCTAACATTTGAGTAGTAAACTGTGTGCACCTGTTGGATCTGTTAGACACCTACTTCCTGTTTTCTGATACTTTTAATTGCAATTAGGGTCATGCTTAGCACGACAACATGAGCATTCTTGTTTAAATTTAGACTTAAGTTATCTTTTTGGTCTGAACATGATTTTCTAAATAACTTGCTATCAAAGATTATAATTTGTTTAGATTTTAAGCTATTTTTCGGATGTTTTCCTTACAGTATTTCAATAGTGTTTGGATAATTTGCTTGAGAACTGTTATCTTGTTTGTATGATTTTGAATCTTGTTATATTATGTGTGGCAGTTGTTTGCACTGTGTGATTAACAATCATTAATACCTTGCTATAAATAGTTATAACTGCTTTATAAGAGATACTATTCTATGCTGTATAGTGCTATTTACTTACTTGTATTATTTTATTAAGAAATGTTTATTAAATGTGTGTTTAAAATTTAACTTCGTCAAGTACGCTTGTGATCAAACATTTGGAAAACAAAAAATATTAAAGGTTAACTTTGCCTTAACACAACAGACTGAACAATGGAAGTTTAAATTTGCAGGGGAAATTGCAACTATAGATTTAGCCTAATCTCATAAAATTTTATTAATTTGAAATTTGAAATTCATATTGATTTGAAATTTTTATCTTATGTTGAAAAGAGATGTAGAACAAGTTTTAATCAGACAGCAATCCAACAACACACTTTAATAGAATTGTGAGTCCACCAGTTAGTTTTAAAAAATGGACAAGCATCAACAAATTGTTTTGTTCAAACTGAATATCCAATATTGACAAGTAATGAATGATTTCAACAGAGACAACCAAATAATTTATATCAACCGCAAATCTACAGAAACAAACAGCAATAACCGTTGAGTTGAAAATAGAGCATTATTTAATAGGATATGGGGATTTCTTATTTTCCTCACATGTACATATTGCTAAAGAAAAGACATCAGATTTATCTTTCCTGTAATTGAAATAATTTTCAATAATTCAAAGGTTGAAAAGTAATACCCTTAAAATAAAACTTCAATTTTCTTCTTGAACATGTTTTAGCCATTTGCCTTTGATTTACATTTTTTCAAACTGAATTCATGCTTCCTTTAAGGTGGTGACAGCAGTGAGGATGCCAAGAGGCAGATGGTCAACCTTGCTCAACAAATCATTGCAGCCATGCCAATGAGGATCAAATTATCTCCAAGTCGTGTTGATGATGCTGCTGAGTTTGCTGCCCGTGAGAGGAGTAGTTCGTACAGTTCAATACCGTCACAGCCATCTCCCCATGCCTCGTCATATGAAGAGGATTCTGGGATATCTACTCCAATGGGTGATGGATTTGCTTTTGATGAATACAGGTAATGACTATTGTGAAAGTAGAAATTGTCATTGTTCATTTGATTTCTATATTGTATAGATAAAATGAAACCCAACAATAATTTAACTTGTAGATCAATTTTAGAGACAAAACCACTAAGGTTTAACCCCAAGAAAATTAGTTTTTACAATATGATATTGTTGGAATACACTATTAAAAGAATAAAAGTGGAACTTTATCTGTACGATTTGTTGGGAAATTTTACGATTAGAATATTATGAAATAAACAAAAATACAATTGGTTTGAAGGGGGGGGAAGAGGGTTTGAGATATACTGTACTGATGTTTGTATTATTCTGCAAATTGTAACAAGAAAGGTTTCACAAAAATAAAATCTTGCATTTTAAAATTTGACAGTAATTTTAGTATTCAGCATTTCCTGAGTTCAAATTAGTTATGCATTTTTTTCAATTGTTAAACTTTTTCAATTGTTAAACAATCTCCAATAATATTTCTAAATTAACAATATTAAAAAGTTTATACAACACAAACAATTCAGACTTTATGCATAATATCCATTATTATACCCCACACAACGAGTTGCGGAGGGTATAATGTTTTTGACCCGTCCATCTGTCTGTCCGTCTGTCCGTCCGTCTGTCAGTCTGTCAGTCCTGTTTCTTGTCATCGCAATTCCTCTCAAACCACACAACAGAATTTCACGAAACCTTTTTAGATGATAATGACATACTATGTAGTTGTGCATATCGACAGGAAATTATGATTCAATTCTTTTTCTAGGAGTTACGCCCCTTTGAACTTATTTACTTTAATGTACTACTGCAACAGTTTGTCATCGCAACTCCTCTCAAACCACACGACAGAATTTCATGAAACCTTTTCAGATAATAAGGACATACTACGTAGATGTGCATATCGACAGGAAATTACGATTCAATTTTTTTCCAGGAGTAACGCCCCTTTGAACTTATTTGCCCAATATACTACTGCAACCTTTTGTCATCGCAACTCCTCTCAAACCACACAACAGAATTTCATGAAACCTTTTCAGATAATAAGGACATACTACGTAGATGTGTATATCGACAGGAAATTACGATTCAATTTTTTTTCCAGGAGTTACGCCCCTTTGAACTTATTTGCCCAATATACTACTGCAACCTTTTGTCATCGCAACTCCTCTGAAACCACACAACAGATTTCATGAAACTGTGTAGATAATAAGGACATACTATGTAGATGTGCATATCGACAGGAAATTACGATTTAATTTTTTTTCCAGGAGTTACGCCCCTTTGAACTTATTTGCCCAATATACTACTGCAACCTTTTGCCATCGCAACTCCTCTGAAACCACACAACAGAATTTCATGAAACTGTGTAGATAATAAGGACATACTATGTAGATGTGCATATTGACAGGAAATTATGATTCAATTTTTTTTTCTGATACAATTTTTTTTTTCTTACACTTATTTTATTTCTCCAATGACAATGTGAGGACGTGGGGTATGTGAGCGCGCTCACTAAGGTTCTTTCATTGTTTTTATTATACCCCCCGTTTAAAAAAGGGGGGGTATACTGTTTTACCTCTGTCTGTCCGTCTGTCCTTCCATCCGTCCGTCCGTCAGTCCTTCCATCAGTCCGTCCCATGAATATTTTTTTTCACATCTTTCTCAAAAACTACATGGTAAGGATTTCTGAAATTTGGTTTCAGGGTTTATATAAGTCAGCTGTACCGTGTGATGCGTTTTCAGATTCATCACTCAACAACTTCCTGTTTACCGAACACTTACATATTTTTACACTATTGAAATTATGCACTTGCAGCGTGGGTATCATCAGTGAGCAGTAGCTCACAGTATCACTTGTTACATCCTGCTAATTTATTTATCTGTTGAATATAAGTATATAGACAACAGTACAATTTGAATTTTATGAGGGGTTAAATAAAAGATGTTTCATGTTTTAACAGTTCAGTTTGCATGTACATGCCAAGTCCCTATATTTTATTTTATTTATATTATTATTTTTTCAGATATTCTGATCTTGGCACACCAGCTTCCTCTCTCAACAGTCCAGAGTCTACCTGTATTCCAAGTCCCTATAGTCCATACGATTTTAAGTTAGATTCCCCACCTCCTACGACAGAAGAGTTCACAGAATACTTTAATGCTCCAGCGACTTTCATGGAGAAAGATTTCTCACTTCTAACTTTATCAGGTTAGTTATTAGTTATTTAAAATGCAGTAAATTATTGTTTAATAGAATAGAATGGAAACAGGGAATGTGTCAAAGAACCAAAATTTGCAGACAGAGTTCGATTTTTGGCAGTGAGTCACTTACCCTTCTAGAGTAATGCTCATTTTGAACTTGGAGAATTTCAAAGGTTGAGGAGGGGCTATTCATATCCTCAGACACATTCTTCTTTTATCTACAATTTGTGGTTCATAAGGACCATAAGAGCTACAGTTCCACAGTTAATGTTTACACTATATATTTCTTTCATTCATTTTGTATATATTTCATTTTTCAGACCAAGAACAACGCAAACTCTATGAGGCAGCTAAAGTCATACAAAAAACTTACAGAAAATTCCGAAATAAACAACAAATGACTCAACAACAGAAAGAAATGGAGGCAGCTATTCTCATACAGAAGTATTACAGGCGATATAAACAGGTGAGTTAATTCTCATACAGAAGTATTACAGGTGATATAAACAGGTCAGTTAATTCTCATACAGAAGTATTACAGGTGATATAAACAGGTCAGTTAATTCTCATACAGAAGTATTACAGGTGATATAAACAGGTCAGTTAATTCTCATACAGAAGTATTACAGGTGATATAAACAGGTCAGTTAATTCTCATACAGAAGTATTACAGGTGATATAAACAGGTCAGTTAATTCTCATACAGAAGTATTACAGGTGATATAAACAGGTCAGTTAATTCTCATACAGAAGTATTACAGGTGATATAAACAGATCAGTTAATTCTCATACAGAAGTATTACAGGTGATATAAACAGGTCAGTTAATTCTCATACAGAAGTATTACAGGTGATATAAACAGGTCAGTTAATTCTCATACAGAAGTATTACAGGTGATATAAACAGGTCAGTTAATTCTCATACAGAAGTATTACAGGTGATATAAACAGGTCAGTTAATTCTCATACAGAAGTATTACAGGTGATATAAACAGGTCAGTTAATTCTCATACAGAAGTATTACAGGTGATATAAACAGGTCAGTTAATTCTCATACAGAAGTATTACAGGTGATATAAACAGGTCAGTTAATTCTCATACAGAAGTATTACAGGTGATATAAACAGATCAGTTAATTCTCATACAGAAGTATTACAGGTGATATAAACAGGTCAGTTAATTCTCATACAGAAGTATTACAGGTGATATAAACAGATCAGTTAATTCTCATACAGAAGTATTACAGGTGATATAAACAGGTCAGTTAATTCTCATACAGAAGTATTACAGGTGATATAAACAGATCAGTTAATTCTCATACAGAAGTATTACAGGTGATATAAACAGGTCAGTTAATTCTCATACAGAAGTATTACAGGTGATATAAACAGATCAGTTAATTCTCATACAGAAGTATTACAGGTGATATAAACAGGTCAGTTAATTCTCATACAGAAGTATTACAGGTGATATAAACAGATCAGTTAATTCTCATACAGAAGTATTACAGGTGATATAAACAGGTCAGTTAATTCTCATACAGAAGTATTACAGGTGATATAAACAGGTCAGTTAATTCTCATACAGAAGTATTACAGGTGATATAAACAGGTCAGTTAATTCTCATACAGAAGTATTACAGGTGATATAAACAGATCAGTTAATTCTCATACAGAAGTATTACAGGTGATATAAACAGGTCAGTTAATTCTCATACAGAAGTATTACAGGTGATATAAACAGATCAGTTAATTCTCATACAGAAGTATTACAGGTGATATAAACAGGTCAGTTAATTCTCATACAGAAGTATTACAGGTGATATAAACAGGTCAGTTTATTCTATAGGTATAAGAATATGGGTTAATAAACTTCTAAATAGCAGATCAGTAAAATAACATGATAAGTAATACAGGAGATAAAAGACGAGTTACAGCCCTTGAATGTTGGAACCTTCCCAATAAAATGTATAGTCCTTTGGGAATAGTGTATGGTACATGAGAAAAGTTGTATGGTTTTAAAATATTACTTGTTTTAGAAAAAAATGTATTGAAATTTGCAGTTTCCTTAAACACATTTTATGATGGGTAATTTTGAATGGTTTGAATCATATATGATTCAAATGGGGTCGTTACAGTGTATTGTGTAAATTGGAAGTTTACATCATTTAAGGACTGTCAATATTTATACACTTAAAGTAGAAGACAAAAAGAGTTGAAAGTTGAAGGTTTCACTTTTTCCTGATTTAATTGCTTTAAATAACAACTTTATATTTTGCAGTATGCATATTATAAGAAGATGACCCAGGCAGCTGTATTGATACAAAGTCAGTTTAGAAGTTATTATGCTCAGAAACGGTTCAAGAAGAGTCGTGATGCTGCTGTGGTTATCCAAAATCAATACAGGACGTATAAAGAACATGAACGTTTAAAAAAGGGAGGCAACAAATCTGTCATTATACAACAAAGATACAGGTAACTATGGATACCAGTTAAAACCAAAAAATTCTTTATAAGTGGTAAAGATTAGAAATATAAATAGACATAGATGTTGAGTAAAAGTAAAAAAGACAGCAACTTGATGACATCAAAAATAATAAATAAATGAAACAGCCAGTGGGGACTGCTTATTTTTACCTCCAACCCTTAATAATGATATTTGAGTTTGAAGTTCATTTTCTGTACTATGACGATACATTCAAATATTTTTGAAAACAAATTTAAGATATCATCTCTTTATAAGAAGTCAAGCAGTTTTAAAAGGTGTTTAAGCGTGGTGAAATATAGAACCAGTGAAATAAGGAGTATTCATAAAAGTTACAATGCTAAATCTGATTTTGCCCTTAACCAAAGTCTATTATAAGATTTTTATTTCTGCAATTTGTTTTTCAAAGCAAAATTTGATATTTTACTGTTGTCTCATATACTTTAATTGATAGAAGAGAGGTGAAAGATACCAAAGGGACATTCATACTAATGAGTCGAAAAACAAACTTGCATTGCCATGGCAAACAACGAAAAATGACAAAATAACAATATACAAAACACAGCATAGAAAACTAAAGACAGCAACACCAACACCACCAAAAACCGGGGGATCTCATTTGCTCTGGAAGGGTAAGCAGATCCTGCTCCACATGTGGCACACCTGTTGTAGATATTCAACATGAATCCTGTTAATTATACCCCCGCTTTAAAAAAGTGGGGGTATACTGTTTTACCTCTGTCTGTCAATCCATCCGTCCGTCCATCCGTCCCATGAATATTTTTCGTTGCATCTTTCTCAGGAATGACATCATTAGGATTTCTGAAATTTGGTTTCAGTGCTTATATAAGTCAGCTATACTGTGTGATGCGTTTTCAGATTCATCACTCAACAACTTCCTGTTTACCGAACACTTACATCAATTTACACATAACATCCTGAAGTTGAAAATTTTGTCACATTTTTTTAAAGAACTACATTACAAGGATTTCTGAAATTTGGTTTCACAGTTTATATAAGTCAGCTATACTGTGTGATGCGTTTTCAGATTCACCACTCAACAACTTCCTGTTTACCGTCAAGTATTTGGGCAGGGGTATCATCAGTGAGCAGTAGCTCACAGTTTCACTTGTTTGGTACATTTTAACATATTCAGTTCCATATTTTGTACAGGAGTCATTACCAAAGGATACCTAAGCACGTAGGACGTAATTCCGATGGACAGATTGTACAGATAGTCCCAGAGGGTGCTGACAGGTAATGAATGCTGATACAAAGAAATCTGAAAATTATACACAAAAAACACAATCATTTAACAGTATGCACCAAAAACTTTTCTCAAACTTTGCCAGTTAGGCTTATGTTTGTACATACAAGTTGTATTCAGTTTGTAACTAGCTTGAACTAATTTTCACTAAACTAGAGTGATCAAGAATGGAGGTCCAAAAAATGAAACATTGAATCTTTTCCATTGTCTTTACTGTTTAACACAGCATTAGTCTGCAACTTAATTACATGACATTATAGGACTATGAGCAGTATTTTAGTATAGATGTAACCAAAACAAATATTAACATTTGCTTTTGATGCACAAAGCCTTAAACTTAATGTTACACTAATATTTGAAAGCTTTGAATCGAATAATAAACTTGTAATAGGTTTTTTTATCCACTAAATACAGTTTAGTTGTTTGGGAATTGATGCCAAGCTTGATTTATATAAGGACATTGAATGATTGCATTAACTGCTTGAAGCCTTACAGATTTAACAATACTAGTAAATGCATGTTAATGCCATAACATTATCTACCTGGTTCATGCATTTTATTTCCTTTTTATTTTTTTTAATTTGTTAATATATTTGAAAATTATTTTATTTGCAAGATGAACATAATAAACATTCTGTTATTTCTATCAGGACTGCTCCATTTAAACATACAAAGTACCAAGGAAAGGCACTTTAAAAATGGGGAAAACACCTTAAGAACCAAATTTCACCTACATTTTTGTCTCGCCTTGATGGGAGTCAAAAAGCGAGACATAGGTAGGCTGTTTCCTGCGGCGGTGATGGCGTCAACAATGTATTAGTTTGTGATTAGGTCTAGTTCATGGTTAACCACTAGTGGTAGGTCAATGATATTTGGTATGCAGTTGTATTAGCATTGGCACATCTCATTACCATGGAGATTATTTGGCCCCGCCCCCTCAGTCAAGGTCTATTGACTTTGAAACTTTTCATAGCTTACATGTATTAGTTTGTGATTAGGTCAATTTATGGGGAACCACTAGTGGTAGGTCAATGATATTTGGTATGCAGTTGTATAAGCATTGGCATATCTCATTTCCATGGAGATTATTTGGCTCCACCTCCTTAGTCATGGTCTATAGACTTTGAAAATTTTGCTAAATTAACATGTATTAGTTTGTGATTAGGTCAGTTCAAGGGGAACCATTAGTGGTAGGCCAATGTTAATTGGTGTTCAGTTGTATAAGCATTAGCACATCTCATTTCCATTGAGAATATTTGGCCCCGCCCCCTCAGTCATGGTCTATTGACTTTGAAACTTTTGCTTAGTTTACATGTATTAGTTTGTGATTAGATCAGTTTAAGATGAACTGCTAATGTTAATTCAATGATATTTGGTATGCAAATGTATTGGCATTTGCAAGTATCGTTTCCATGGAGATTATATAGCCCCACCCCTGATCATGGTTCATTGACTTTGAAACTTTTACACAGTTTACAAGTTAATGTTTGTGTTTAGGTTTGTTTAAAGGGAACGACTTATGATAAGTCAATGGTATTTGGTATGCAGTTGTATTAGCATTGGCACATCTCATTCCATGGAGATTGTTTAGCCATGTACCTTCAGTCATGGTTCATCGACTTTGAATATTTGCATAACTTACATGTTAAAGTATTGCTATTTTAATTTCAACATTTGCATTATCAAAATTACAAAAAGGCGAGACATATCTCTGTGATAACAGTTTATTATGTTCTTGACACCAACCCATAGTTGAGATTTCAAAGTATCTTCCCTAGATCCCATGTACATGTATGTTTTTATTGAACAGCTCCTAGTGAAATAGCATTCATTGGACAGTCAGCTTACCTTTACTGTCGTCCACTTATCAAATTGTGTCATGTTTGATTTGTATATTTATTTCAAAATTGACAGGGATCAGCATTCATTAATTTACTTTTATTCTATATAACTACTTCGAATCATGATTTATATATTTTATATAATAAATAAATAAATTTTAACTCTTGGCTATAATTGATTTCACATTGTAATGTCCGAACACCAGGTAATTGATCCAATATTGTCTTGTATGAAAATCTGCTCAACGTCGCATTACTAATATAATACATTTAACTAATACATAAAGAGAGTGGAAAATTGTCCATGTTAGGAGGGTATGTAAATTTAATGTCCAATGTTGTTGTCATTATGAGGTACCTTGATGTTGTCTTGAGTAGAGTAGATTTTGATGCCCTATATATCTTCCATTTCTCAAAAAACATTATGATAAAGACAGTCCTGAGTTACATTTTATTGTAGGTATAGAAATTGGTTTGATATACATGGTTTGAGTTCAGTTTTCTTGCTGATATTTAAATATAAGTACACATATTTGTCTTTTATAAAAAAAAAATTCAGTGCTGAGAAAATACGATGTAGTAATAAATATAGAGAAGTCATTCATACCTGCTGACTTATAAAAATCTCCATTGCAGATTTAAGAACAAGAGGACCTAATGCATCTCTTATAAATGTCTTGGGTATTTTAAACCTAATAAATTATGGTTTGGATGGGTACATTGCTAAAATGTAATTTTAACTCTTTTATTTGAGGTACTAAGTTTTAATGAAAGATTTCATCAGTGAGGTTAACTCCTCTCATGGGGAAATCCCCCATTAATCAGAAAAGTTGGCAAGTCTCATTAGAGAAGTTTATGGCAATGTTCATAAATACCAAAAAAATCACTTAAAATCTCATAAACAAACAAGTAAGCAAAGCAAACCTAAAATTGAAGTACAGGAAAGTTTTTCTTCATTGTTGCAGTTTGAAATAGGAGGTATTCTCACACACTTTTATTCCATACTTGTACATATTTAAAATATTTATTTAGTATATACAATGTACTCTTGACATTGGTGAAAATTGCAGCAGATCTTGCATTTAGTTTGTTTATCTATATATGTGTGTGTTTGTGTGTGTTATGTTGCATGTTTGTGAAATGTTGTTGTTTTATTTTCAGAATTATATAATGAGATTTGTAGGTACTTAATAGCTATTCCGCCTTTTTTTCTATATATAGCTTTGTTTGCTTACTTCTCTTATTCAGTTAAATTTTCATGTCTTTTTGTCTATAAAGTATATCATTAATGTGGATTCATTTATTTTAGAGCTAATTTCCTAATGCATGTAGACTGAAACTTTGATTGGCTGGCTTGCTTTGTTTGTATAAACATTTTCCCAAGCATTTTAATTATGATTGACATCTTCAACCAATATAAATAGGCGGAGTTAAACCTGTATACATTATACTTAAATTTGATTGGATTTTATCCTTGTTGTTAGCATGTCAACATTCATACAAACAAAGCAAGCAAGCCAACCAAAGTCTTACTCTACAAGAATTAGGAAATTAGCTCTAATTTGTTGAGGAAAAATTTTATGTTCCTGGATGATTGATTTCATGGTGCAGAAAAACTCTGCATACCAGCCGATATAAGATTTGGACTTCTTTAAACATATACATTCGTGGTTCACCTATACCCACGATATCCACGATAATTGTTATTAAAACAATATCCATGATAGTTGTTATCCCACGATATCCACGATAATTGTTATCCCATGATATCCACGATAATTGTTATCCCACGATATCCACGATAATTGTTATCCCATGATATCCACGATAATTGTTATCCCACGATATCCACGATAATTGTTAACTCACGATAATTGTTATCCCACGATATTCACGATAAATAGTATCCCACGATATCTACGATAATTGTTATTCCACGATATCCACGATATCCAAGATAATTGTTACCCCACGTATGTTAATGAATCTACAGTATTTAATGATATGAAAGATCACATGATAAAGTGTACTGAATAAGAGAATTCCTTTAAAGTATATTAATAAGCTTTCTATAGATTCTGCATACAAGTCACTAGTGTGTATTTTGCTGGTTTTTTTCATCATGTGTGCTGTCACTTTGAGAAAATAATACATAGTCACAGCTTTAGTATAATACTTTGATTTTTTTTTGAGGGGTGGGGGGGCCAAAAACAAAGTTCTAATTTTGAAGTAAATTGATATAATCTATTTACTATTTAAATTAATTATTTTGATTCATCCTGGAAAGAGACCTGGCCTGTTTTCTATGTTCCACTTTTTATGTTGCATTAAGAATATATTTTGTAATTTCAAGGGAGAATACTCTAACTCTTAGAATATTGGTTGATAATTACCATAGCTCTAGCTTTATAATTTCCATGGTTATAGTATTTTAATTTACATACACTAGCTGACATTAGATATTGAAATATACTTTATTATTATTTTATTATGTTATTGTTAGGGTCTACATTTAAGTCAAGTTTATGAAATACTGACCATCATGGATAAAAAGTATTTTCATGTAAATTGCATTTAAAAAATTATTGTGCCATTTTTCAATAGTACTTAAAGGGGCACTAGCTGTCAAATTCATGTTCACCGATTTGACTCAAATTCTCATATTTGATTTATAACAATGTAAAACATTTATCCAAACTATTAAAAGTCTAAAATAAACAGTTAACAGGACATGGGCATGATAACACGTAGCTTTGTTTCGTGTGTATTTTAGTCTAGACGCCATCTAATTAACTATCGAGTTGACCTCCAAAGTCATCCGATGACCATATAAGGGATGTAAACATAAATAAAGATATAAATAGATTAAGCGAACTCTTGCTATTGGATTTTTCTAGGTCTGTTTAATTTCATATTATAGATTAAAAATATATGTTTATCATCGTTTTTACCTGTATAAGAATGATTTTTTTGTGGATCGGATCAGTCAATCAAATGATTTACCTTTGTTTCATTCACTTTCAATGTTGATATTCTTTTCCTTTAAATAACTTTACACATACAATTCACGTGTTATCCATCTCTAGCTAAGGGGTTAAATTGAAGTTCACATGAATACAGATTCAATGAGATCGAATTATTCACTTGCAAGTGAATAACTCATCATCAATGTTTCTTAGCTTATTTTGACAAAATTGAACCATACTGGCGGCTAAAAGCGAATAATTATTTCACTATTTCACTTTCATTAATGATTGAACAAAAAAAATCATATATTAGATTTTTTATATCTCTCATAGCTAGTGCCCCTTTAAGGACTGTTTACAAACAAATCCAGAAACTTTTATATACATTATACTACATTATATACAGAAATCCTGTGATTTCAGATTCGAAATTTGTGTCTTATACATGAAATATTCTCAGGTGAATTTTCAAAAATTCAAATGTCAATTCATTTATTTTACGTGGGTGCCAATATTCATGGATTGAGCAAAAATTGTATTTTCATGGTTTTGCCAGTTCGCAAAGTCTGCATACAAGCTTATAAAATATTTTTAACTCATCAAACATTGAAATTCGTGATTCACCTATTTCCACGTAGTCCCCAAAAAAATGGTATCCCATGAATAATAATGAATCAATAGTATTGAGTATTCTTGTCCATCAGTCTTTGTTGAAAAGTTGTTCACTACTTCTCCTTATTCTATCTTTTAAAAATCCTTCAACCTGGCCCATAATTTTTCGTTAAGGTCGATATAAATTCACTTGATAGTTAAAATTTGTCTTATGAAGACTTAAGTTTTATGTTAAAGTAAATACCTGTTACATATACTGGTATAATGTACAATAAAAAGATAATATGCTTTTTTTTCTCTTATTCTGTATGCATTTAAAGCAACTCTGACCAGTTTGATAAATTTTGAATAACCTCCCTTTGATTGAATTTGTCAGGAGGTAAAGAGATAAAATATATATAAGTATGTAAAACTCAATTCATAAGCTATTGTGATGTTTTTAGCTCACCGGCTTCGGGCCCCATGTGAGCTTATGCCATCACTTGGCGTCCGTCGTCTGTTGTCGTCTGTCGTCATAAACTACTGGGCCAAATACCTTAAAACTTTAACTAAATGTTCCTTAGGGTATCTTGTTTATAAATTGTATCCAAAGTTTTGATCATGTTTTGACAAACATGGCCACCATGGCTAAAAATAGAACATAGGGGTCAAATGCAGTTTTTGGCTTATATCTCAAAAACTAAAGCTTTTAGAGCAAATCTGAAAAGGGGAAAATTGTTCAGTTGGTCAAGATCTATCAGCTCTGAAATTTTCAGACAAATTGAACAACCCATTGTTGGGTTGCTGCCACCGAATTGGTAGTTTTAACAAAATTTTGCAGTTTTTTGTTATTATTTTGAATATTATTATAGATATATATATAAACTGTAAGCAGCAATAATGTTCAGCAAAGTAAGATCTACAAAAAAGTTAATATGACCATAATTGTCAATTGACCCCTTAAGGAGTTATTGCTCTTTTAAAAGACTATTTTACACAATTTATTCATCAAGTTTGCTAACATTTAAAAATCTACAGGTGAGCGATTCAGGCTCTTGAGAGCCTCTTGTTATTAATGTGAAAAATGCGACAGTATCAGGTTTGCAATAATAAATATTTGCATTCATAATTTCAGTACTGTTTATCCTTCACAAAATTTTTGTGATCTCATTAATTCAAATCTCACATTTTAATCAGTAATCCGTGATTTGTAATTTGTAATAATAAATGCACACACTGATTTCTGAATTAACAGTACTAGATATCAGATATATAAAGATAAAACTTGGTATGAAATATAAATGTTAGTGATGATCTCCCTTTGAAAACAGAACTTTTAAAAAATTACAAAAAAAGAATTTACTTTTCATTTCAGGTTTTTATTATACGCCCGTTTACGGGACGTATTATGGTATACCGTTGTTCGTCTGTCCGTCCGTCCGTCTGTCCGTCGTCAACATGTCGGACATTAACTCAAGAATGCTTTAACCAATTTGCATAAAACTTTGGTGAATTGTTTATATCTATTGACGTGAGCTCCCTTTCGTTTTTTATAAAATTTATTTTCAATAGGAGATAAATGATATATTTTTTTCTTAATATTATTGGAATTTGCTGGTCATCATTCAGAGATGACCACATGAGTCAAATTATAAATTATTTTAAAGGAAAATTTGTTAATTAAAGGTAGTTGTAACAGTATTGATGACATAAGCTACCCCATCAGTTAAATGGATTTATTATTTCATTATTAATTTTACATTTATTATATATTTTCCATTCTATTGTGTTCATTCATTTTTAAAAAAAACTAACTTTATTTTATCTTTACAGCACACAAGCAGACCAAAGCAGCTCATCCGACAACATATTACAACTAACAGACGATAACATAACAGCTCCATCTAGTGAGGAGAAATCAAGGGAGAGTAGCAATCATTGACACAAACAAAATTGATCAACAGAGATAACAAGATAATGAACAAAGAATAAATAAGATAGTATGAAAAATGGAAGGTTTAAGGATTTTTGAATTTTATATTTGTAGTGTTAAGTGTTCAGGTTTTTCCCTTATAATGCATAATTATTGTATTTTTTCCAATAATTACAGAATTATTTTACTTTCTGGATGATAGGTCAGATATAAAACTTGGTATCAACTTTGCAAACTGGCAATACTGACTTTCTGTCTTTTTTTTTGTATCAATGAAAATTTTATTTTCAGTGTACTATTATATTTTATAAATTGGAGCACCATTTATTTCAACAGCAAGTATGGTAACATATAATTGTTTAATTGAATAGTTAACGCTTAAAACACTCAACCCTCGAAGAGGAAAATTTTGAGATAAAACTAACATATATTATATTTTATTGTCTATTCAAAAAAGAAATCTAAAAGTATACAAAATGTTTTGTATTATTAGTGCAATTAGTCACAAGGGCTTTCCAATAATTATTTGTAGTAATGAGGATAAGGAGTTAGTGAATCACTTCTAACACGTGTTTGTTAGGTGGTTTATTCTGTCTGAATTACTGTAGGATATATTACTTTATTATAGAATAACACAATCATAGCATTGTTGCCTATTGAATATATACATATACACACATTGAAGACCTGAATATCTCTTTTTTTGTAACTGAGTAGTAAAATGTGTAATATTATTTTCCTCTACCTCTATATTTAAATGACAGCTAATAGAGTATAATAGATTTTTGAGGGTAGGGTAGGAAGGGATTACTGTGAGTAATTTCGTAAACATCAAATGGACGTACAACCATACATGATCTACAATGCATGCCCAAAATTAAAATTTCCTTTCCTACATTAATTTCAATGGAACAGTTCTGGCATGTTCTAACTGATGATATCATTGACAAGTAATGGATTAGATTTTACCATGACATGGAGATAGAGAGTGCTGTAAAATTTTGGCACAAATATTTTGCATTTTACAAATATACCAAGTCTTTGTCATTATAAATTGATGTGCTCAATAACCATAGTGTATAAATACAGTCACTTTTTAGGATTTTATGAATTCCCTATTCATTTACTAGTTATCTGAAAAAAAATTAGACAGTAGTTATTTAAGGGCAAAATATTTATATTTATAAACATGTTGAGAACTCATGCTTAATTATCAATAATAGAAGAAGTGAAATATTCATGTTTAACCCTTTGGAAAGGTTAATTTTTAGAGCATTTGTAAACAGATTTACAAAGTATTTTAAGTAAGTACTTATGTTATATTTAATTTAAGTAAAAGTATTACAGATATTTTGCAAATTACGTATATAGAATTCTCTGTATAAATATTTTGTTAGGAAGTTAAGATGATTAAAGATTACGTTAGATATATTTTGATTGAGTATTATACAAAATATGATCTTTATTATGTATCAATTGAAAGATCAATTAGGTCACATTTGTTTGGTCTTTCTGAAGGCCCTGTTCTTTCTGGGTACACTGGCTTCCTTCACCAATAAAAACTGGTCACTGAAAGTTTTGTTTTTAACACCAACATCTGAACTAAAGAGATTGACAATCTCATCTCATTTAATGGTAAGAAATGTATTTTTTTAAAGATTAGAAATTCTCTCGATGGAGTAGATATCAGCTTTGACTCATTATACGAGAAACATTGTCTTTGAACCAGTTATATATTGTAATTTTTACTCAAACCTGTTAGTATTCAGTAGTAAGGGCAACTTAGGCATTCAAACCTTTTTGTTTGAGCTAAATGTAGTTGGACAACCTTTTCATAAATCCTTTTCATATAAATTATTATGGAAATAGATTGAATGTAATAAAAGACAAATTGATTCACTAATATAAAAAGAAAAATGATTAAATCCTTATTAGATCTTTAAATGAAAATAAGTGTTCAAGACAAAGAATGTTAATTATTGTTTGAAACATATGGTAATTCATAAAATACTGTATCTTATGAATAAAATGGAGGATTAAATTTTGTAGATTTACCTGTAAATAGCCTGTTAAGTTTAAATATTTTAATGTTATCTCCCCCTTGTTAGTTAGTCAATATAAACAGTTTTGGGCTCACACCATTATCTCCCCTTGTTAATTAATCAGTATAAACAGTTTTGGGCTCATTACACCATTATCTCCCCCTTGTAAGTTAATCAATATAAACAGTTTTGGGCTCACAACACCATTATCTCCCCCTTGTTAGTTAATCAAAAATAAACAGTGTTTGGCTCACACCATTATCTCCCCCTTGTTAGTTAATCAGTGTAAACAGTTTTTGGCTCACACCATTATCTCCCCCTTGTTAGTTAATCAGTATAAACAGTTTTTGGCTCACTACACCATTATCTCCCCCTTGTTAGTTAATCAGTATAAACAGTTTTTGGCTCACACCATTATCTCCCCCTTGTTAGTTAATCAAAATAAACAGTGTTTGGCTCACACCATTATCCCCCCATTGTTAGTTAATCAAAATAAACAGTTTTTTGGCTCACTTACACCATTAAACCATATAGTCCTGTGTTATTATTTGATTTATTTTTAGCAGTCATTTGAAAGTTGATATATGAAGAAGAAGAAAAAAATCTATCAATTGATTGAAAGAGTCTCAAATTATTTAAACTTGTCTTCTACTTTTATGAAATAAATTATATAATAATTAACATCCATATTTGTTTTAAAAAATCTTAACCATTAGTTAAATAGAACATAACACATGATCGAATAAAGATGAAAAAAAAATCTGTCAATACATTATCCCAGTACATGTAAAATATTTCATAACTTTAATAATAGACATGAAAATGAAATGAAATAAAGGGCCCTCTAAATGAAAAATTGTGAATTTACCTTGAGCTAAATAAAAATCAGGTTAAAAGTGTTGTGTGAGCCCTTTACTTGAACTTGTATATTTCTGATTAATATTGTTCCTCATATTTATAAAGTTTCCCCTTTTGATTGTTATTGTTTTTTTTCTTGTTGTTAAATTTAGAATTTCTAATTGTAAATGGCATAGATGTTAAATTAAGATCGAGTGTAAATAATATTTAAAGATTTTGTATTAATTTTTTTATGTGTTACATAAATTGTCATGTGTCTTTATTGTCTCAGAGGTACTACATCATAACACTCATTGGTGAACTTGAGTAACAATTCTTTCGTCTCGCCTATGACATCAGTTGCGTAAACAACACTTAGTCATACTGTTTCTCGCATCAACAGTGTCCGCAATTGTTAAAGCTTGTGATTAGCTCACAAAGGTGAGACATCTCTGTGTTTTAAATTTTTTTTTATAAATAACTATCTACAGCAAATACTTTATTTAGAAGATGTCACAGTAAGAAAGAATCAATCAATAACCTTTTCCATGACAACCAAGACTTGTTAGATATTGACTGATATTAGTCATACCTACTGATACATTGTTTACAGTACAATTAATAAATTTAAAGGACCAATTTTTGTTAGAATAGTATAAATGCATCTTGTCCTGCAAACTGGAAATAATGGTATGTATTTAATAGGATCAGAATTTTATAATCTAGTCTAAATGATATGACTGTCAAATCTTACGTCAAGATGTATTTCCCCATTCATTTATATAATAGTTTTTTATATGAATTGACACCCCTATAAGCTCAATTGTAACACGATAAGGGATTTTTCACAAGATTGTTACACAACACAGATCAATGCAAAAATACACAAATACAATTTATCAGCAATAATTAAAATTGTTTTTTTTTTTTTCAAGTTTTTGTTGTCGTCTCAATGGCCATTGTAACTTGTACTTAAAGATAGTTCAGTATTTTATACATTTTTCAGTGTATTTTTTGTGTATGTTTCATATTTTTATCACATTAACAAATAATTTTGAGGAAAAAAACAGATTTTGAACTTTGATGACTGTGGCAGTTGACTGAAATTATTCTCTGTAACAACAGTGATACGTCTGGTTCCATTTAATACAGTCAATCTGATGGAGTTTCTCAGGTTTCTTGATTGAAATAAATTACCTTAGTGGAAAAATCATAATTTTCATTAATCCTTCAATATCTGATAAAAGAGGCAAAGTTTTTTCAGAGGACATTTATTTTGCAAACTGACTGGTAGTTTTAAGTAAACTTACTTATTGCTATTTTCTCAAATTTTGCTTTGATATTTTTTTATGATAATTTTTCATATCAGGCTACTCGAGTGATATGAGTTTTTTTCAGTCGAGAAGAAAGAGAATGTATGACATCATGAACCTACTTCATTGACGTTGATTAGGAAAACAGCGATAAACAGATTGTTAATGGTTTTTCAAACAGGAGGATGTTACTCGCCCTTCAATGAGATTGAAGCAGAGAAACATCCTCTCGTTTGGAATACCATTGATAATCTATAGATACAGGTACCATTGAAGACTGTATGTTGACATTTGGACATCTTTTATTGCTGTATTTTGTTTTGTTGGGTTGCTGTCTGATTGACGTTTACCCACAAGTTTTCATTTATGCCTAAAGGTAGATAATGTGTTGGTGCTATTACCAGGAACATTGTATTGTTTACATGTTGATAGTTACATGAATGCACCATGTTATAGTTGAGCAAGAAGTTCCATATCAGGATATCAAATTGTCACAAGAATAACTGTGAGAAACTGAATGGTCACATGACCAACTGTGAGAAACTGAATGGTCACATGACCAACAGTGAGAAACTGCAAATAATTTTATTATATATTTTTCCTAAATGACAAATGAACTAAATCAAGCGGTCACAAGACCAGTTTCTATGAAAATGCATATTCTTTAATATTAATTATTTATTATAAAATGAACAAATTATTGGAATCTTTTTTATTTATCCTTTGTTGTACTTTGTTTGTAGGCATTGATCTGAGGAACAAATAATCTTGATATATAATGGCTAACTTTAAAGATACAACTGATAACTTTACTACAAATACATTTGACTACAACCTTTCATCAATTATCCAGTTTTTCTGGCAAGTTGGTATTTTATTTAGAATTAAGAGCTTTTTTAAATGAATCAAGTTAGTTTAACTTAGTTGCTCAGATGAAGTTCAGTAAATTTGAGGTAATGCCATACAAAACTATTCTCTTGTTCCATGACACCATTTTTCTTCAAAAACAAATAAATGAAAGTATTTTATATTTTATAGGCAGAAAAACATAGCGGGAGGCATCTTTTCAAAAACTTCTTGTTTATTCATAAGTTAAACTTTAGAACAACTGAAATTTATTTATTTGCAAGTCCCCAAATGCATAGAACACATTTCTGAAGTTGGATGAGTTCTGAATGTGAAATGATATTTTATCGAATACAGAACCTCATTTTTTCATTTCAATAAAATGGCAATAATACAATCAGCAATGTGAACACTTGCAGAAAGATATAATTTTACAACTTGATGATTCGGTAAATTACTGTGAAAGAAAAAAATAACCTTTTTAGGTAGAAAGTTATTTATTCTAGAAAAACTTTAATTATACAAATATACTTTACCCTGAATTAAAACTAATAATTTCTTTCCTCAGATCAATGTCATTGTATTGTGATATTTTTTGTATACTTTTCCTATATTTATTGCAGCTTTTTGCATTTTGTTGATTATTTTTTGTATATTTTTATATTTATTAATTATAGCCTCAATCATGCTTCTGTTTACCATTACACAATAAACTGCCTCTATCATCTGTTAAAATTTTTCTTTGTTTCCCCTTTTAATTTACACCCTAAAGAGTTGACTTTGGTTTAAAGGTATGGTATTTCCTTGACCTTTCCTGCTATGGCAGTAAAACTCTTTGCGAAAGTGGGGCTGTGCAAGATGTAAATTTGCACCGATGTCCAGTTGGAATGAGGATATTAAATCTGATGCCTCCAACAGGGTGAGTGCCAAGCTCTCTCAAGTTACATACCCATTGCAACAATTCTTTCAGTGGTCGTTAGGAGGCCTGTTGCAAGACTAAATTTCTATCCAAATACTCTTATTTTTCAGTGTTTTTATTAGCTGTGACCTAACCCAAAGGGACAAGTGAGCTTTTGCCATCATTTGGCGTCCGTTGTCGTCTGTTAACTTTTACAATGCTCATCTCCTCTGATACTACTGGGCCAAATTTAACCAAACTTTGCCACAATCATCATTTGGGTATCTAGTTTTAAAAATGTGTCCAATGACCTTGCCTGCCAACAAACATGGCCAACATGGCTAAAAATACGACAAAGGGGTAATATGCATTTTTTGTCTATTACCTTGAAAACTGCTATAGATACAGGAAATCTTACAGTGGCAAAAATGTTTAGAATGATGAGATCTACCCTCTGTCTATTAACATCAAAACTGTCAGACGACTTCTTATATGTGTAATTACCCTTAAATGACAAAAAATTTTTTTTCCATTTTATTCTCTTATCTTAAAATTTATAATAGATAGATAGAAACTTTATAAGCAAAATTGATCAGCAAGACAAGATCTACAAATAAGTCAACATGACTGAAATTGTCAGTCAAACCCTTGAATTATCACTTATATTAAATAAAAAATGTCTCTGGGTATTAGCTTGTGTGTTAACCTAACCTATGGAAAGCTGTACCACTGACCTACTGTAAATTCAGAAATTATTGCGAGGTTTTTATTAATGTGAATAATGCAACTAGGTGAGTATCGCAATGATAAAAACTCGCATTTTGATAACTGAAACAGATCTGTATGTAGATTTTTCTGAAATCGCAATAATTAAAATCGCATTCTTGTCCATTTTTGAAAAATTGAAAAATAAAAGCACGCAATAATTTCTGAATTTACAGTATTACACAAGACTATGCAGGCTGGGTCTCTCCTAAGCCATGCGACATTTAGGAGAAGAAAACATATACTGCTTGAGGTAGGCATAATGTGTCCAAATATGGAAACAACTTTTTTCTACAGACTACTTTTTATTCAGCTAGCAAATTCATATTCTGACTTGCAGTGTCAAATTGAAGAAATATAGAAGAAGATATTAGATTGCCTTCATTTGCTGCAAGCAAGCTCAAATTACTTAACCTGCTTATATGAAATCATGCCGTCCTACTCTTATATTGGATAAAAGACCAACTAAACTGTTGCCACATAGATACTTGTATTGCCTTTATGTAATTTAATAGTATAACTCAAATGTTGAAATTTAAATGGTAAACCATTTACCTGTTTTGCAAGTTCTAAAGTCAATGAACCAGGACTAAAGGTGAGGGGCCAAATTATCTCCATGGAAAAAAGATACACCAATGCATATACAACTGAATACCAAATATCACTGACTAATCATTAGCGGTTCTTCTTTAACGTAATCACAAACTTAGTTGTTGTCCCTAGAAACACTACTTGAGGTAAAGCTTTGAAGACTTGTCACCAGCCTGACAAAACCACTAAAACTGTTTACACAGAGACAAGTCTCGCCTGTATGTAATGTTGATAGCATAGAGTAAATGTTGAAATTAAAATGTCAATATTTTAACATGTAAACTATTCAAAACATTCAGTCAATAAAATATAACCATGACTAAAGGTGCAGGGCCAAATAACCTCTGCTGAAAGGATATATGTCAATGCTACTACAACTGCATATTAAATATCATTGACTTATCATAGGTGGTTTGCCTCAAACCTACCTAATCACAAACTTTAGCATTGCAAAAGTTCAAGTCAATAAACCATGACTAATAAGGCCAGGCCATTTAACTTCTATGGAAATGAGATGGAACTGCATACCAAATATTAATTACCATTAAAGGTTCATCTTAAACTGACCTAATCACAAACTTAAACATGAAATATATAAAAAAAACTTTCAGAGTAAATGGACCATGACTGAGAGGGAGGGGTCAAATAATCACAATGGATAAGAGATGTGCTAATACTTGTACTACTGCATAATGCACCTTATCAGTAATCTATGATGATGAAAATGTTAGTTTTTCATTCTTCACTGCCATCTTTAATCACAATAATCAATATCAATGGTATATCACTAAGTTATTTCACTCTTAACCACAGTTATCCAGCATATCTTCATATAGCGGATAATAACCTATACAATTAGTAGTATGAAGACACTATGATAGTTGTCTTCAGCAGGCCTGGCAGCAGCTTAAGCATTTATACAGGCATCAGCAGCAGCAACATTATCTGATCATTTACAGCTTAAAATTTATAATGTATGTCTGATAGCATTTACTTTCAACATAACTTCAATTAGAAATACACGACAGGCGAGACATTTCTCTGTGTCCACTCTTGTTACATATGACCAGAATAACAACCCTACAGAAACTTTTAAAATATCCGACAAAAAAGAACTTAATTACAAGAAATCAATAAAAAGTATAAATCATTTTCATTTGGTTTTGCATAGAAATAAAATGGAATTTGTTCTCCTTTTTCTACAAACATGTTAGGGATCATAGATTTATTCTTACGAGGAAGCTCCGAGCATGCTCGGAGGATGCTCAGAGCTTTTTCAGTAGGCTCTTCTCTGCAGTTTATGTGAAAATAATTATCATGATCCATTAAGATGTCAATCAAATCTACACCACTTCTATAATAAGGAAAGTTGAGCATTATAGAGGAAGCTCAATTAACACCTGTGTAAACAACTGATCTATTCAAATACAATTTGCATGACATTTTACAAATTATAGAAAAGATAAGAAATTCTTCAACAGTACTGTGTAATGCTTGGAAAGAAATCTCAAGTCTCCACAAAAAAGTGAAAGTCATTTAACAAAAAATATACAATTATTATATTTATTAATCATTTCTTTTTTTATAATAAAAAAAATTCTCAAATTTTATAATTAGATGATATGATTTAAATATAGTTTATATTATATAATATGCTACATAAAAGTTATCAAGACACAAAAAACAGTCAGGGGGCGATACTAAACAAGTTATTTTTTTTAGTTACTTAATATATATTAATAGGTATTTTTTGTTTTTTTAAATTATTTGATATAAACTCAATAGTTATTTTAAATGTCAAAAATTTCTCATAAGCTTCCTCATAAGAATAAATCTATGATCCCTTAATAACAAATAAATTTTGGAAATGTAATTACTACAATTTAGACAAGAATTCAAAATACAAATCTTTTTGTTTCAAGTATTAATAAAAGCAGAATTTTAAAATAATATTTTGTTATGGGCAGTTGTTTGGGCCAAATTTGTCCAAATAAGCTAAAAAATATCGCTGATGTATTATTGACTCACGTGAATCCTTTTTCATGTGAATTTCAATTTAACCCCTTAGCTGGAGATGGGTTATGCATGTACTAGGTGTGTTTAGCTATTAAAAGGAAAAGAATGTCATCATTGAAGTGAATCAAGGATGAACTATTTCGTTGACTGATTCGATCCACAAAACATCATTCTTATACAGGTAATCCAATTGCACATGGTTGCTATCTGTTAATATTTATATTCATGTTTATATCTATCGGGTTATATTACTGTCGACAGTCTTTGGAGGTCATCTTGATGGTTAATTAGATGGTGTCTAGACTAATATACGAAATTTGCTTATTTTAGACTCATTGCAATTTGCATATACATTTAAGTATGTAATAAATATAATATGAGAATTTGAGTCAAATCCGTGAACATGAATTTGACAGCAATTGCCTCTTTAAGACATTTTGAAGAGTTCCACTTTTATCAAAAATAACAACAATCATCTATTTATTTTTAATATCATTTGTAAACTTATTCAATTTAAGTTCAGTTAATAACACAAATCATTGAAAGACAATTAGGTCAAGAATGTTTAAATTCATTCTAATTAAAGCTTCTTCAGTCCACTTTTTGATTTTTCTAATTATAAAATATTATAGCAGTCTTAATTCATTAGTTGACACAGTCTATAATATTAATGTTGAATTACTTTACAGCTAAAAGCAAACCATCACACAATCAAGTCCTAATATATATTGCATGCCAACTATTTGTTGAAAATCTAAAATTAGATAAATGATTGATAACTAGAATGTCCGTCTGGCCTCTAGACCCCTATTTTCAATAAGCCAATCAACCCACAATATACATTTTCAAAATTTCAAAATATTTGTAAAAACTTTCTCTTTTTAAATACAACCAAGGATCACAGATATTTATGTTAAATGACTCCCTACCCACCCCTCGCACCCCTTTCACAATTTGAAAGAAAATATGCCATCTAATAAGTTAATTATGTAGGGTTGCTGTCTGATTGACATTTGCTCCATATCTGCAATTACTGATTGTTTTTAAAATAATTCTAAAACACTATAATTTTTAGATTTATAAAAAAAATAAATATATTTATTTAAATAAACTAAATATAAATATATAGACATTTATAAATATAAATTCTTTATCATTGAGGTTAACTTAATGTCATGACTATGGAAGTAATGGGAGGTCCGTACACCTAATAAAAATATCTCAAACATCAAGCCTGTGTTTCACAAAAAATCCTTCAACTAATATTGAGCGTTAGTATATTAAATTGTTCATGGCTTATTTTCAATTTTAGTCTTAAGATTTTTCGTGAAACCCAGGCCAGACCTCCACAGTTCTTGTCTCTGAGCATGTATCATAAAAATAACCTAGAAACATGTTAATAATTTGTTTTATTATACTTCATGTTAAAATGCCATATTTTGAATGGCTAATACAAGGGTGTTAATTTACTCTATCACATGGCTGAGCCGGTGACAATTTTTTTGAATGTCACCCTCTTGTCCAAACCAATCAAAAATCGATAATTTAAAGGACAATGAATTGAATTTACATCAAGTAATAAATATAATGCTTAAGTTCTACACTTCGCCGCCGTTGACAATGTTTTCTCAGGGTAACAATCTGCTCTATCACCCTCTCAGCTATGTGTTATTTATATAATGACAGACTTTACATAAAATTAAAAAGTCCACAATTCTGGTTACTAAGCATGTAATAAACTATTCCAGAAATGATTTTTAAAAATTCAATCATAGCAAATGTTTGAGAAAATTAACAGATTAACAATATAACTATTCAAATAGTAAAAATCAGACGATAACAAAATACAATATTTTCCGATCAATAAGACCTTGGATGTGCTAACAGTTTTATTCCATTTTCAGCTCTCATTACTACTCCAATCTTTTTCTTCACCAAACAGTCTGGATCTGGTTGGAAAGTAAACCTACAAAACAGAATATCAAGTTTTAGAATGGTTCTTTCTTCTGATGGTCTGCTGACAGACTGTCCGTACGTCCAACCGTCTGTACGTCTGTACGTCCCAAAATTAGTTCTCTAACTTTAGTTTGCCTCAACAAAATGTTATGAAACTTATACACAATGCTTATTACCACAAAACACAGATTAAATTCAAATTTTGATTGTGTCACTCTTACCATTCTAGAGTTATGTTCCTTAATAAGTTATTTGCAAGCCGGGGCATCATCTGTGTCCCATGGACACATTCTTCATGTATTTGAATTTTCTTTGAGCAGCAGTATGCAACAAAACAGCTGTAACCACCTAAGCTTCATCCTGTAGCAACAAGCACATTTTGACTCTTATTTTCCAAATTATGATCCATATCTTATTTCCATGTACAAGTTAGCTGTCATACTGTTGGTAGCTGCACTGTTCAGGATTTTTTTATTGTGTTTTAGTTTTACCACATATGATTTAGATAGACAAAGTAACTTCTATGTCATTTGGTCTGCGGTGGAGAGTTGTCTCATTGGCAATCATACCATATCTTTTTATTTTTAAAATTCGCAAGAAGTTCCGTGGAACCCTGTGTCTCGCCTTCAATTGCTGCTGTCAGTGTAAAAGTGTAAGGTTGACTTAAAAAGTGAGTCCATTTACTGTAAATTCAGAAATTATTGCGTGCATTTATTATTGCGATTTTTCAAGAATGGACAAAAATGCGAGATTAATTATTGCGATATCATGAAAATCTGCATACAGATGTATGTAACAGACATCAGAATGCGAGTTTTTATTATTGCGATAGTCACCCAGTCGCATTATTTGCATTAATAAAAACCTCGCAATAATTTCTGAATTTACAGTATCAGTAAAATACAGAATTCAAAAAATAAATTCTAATGTTTTCTTTAGGTGCTATTTCTTGTTTTTGAAGATTAGCTTCTGTCCAAGTTACATAACAATCCATGAACGTTTACATATTTACCATGTGAAAAAAAAATTAATCTCAGACTGTCTGTAGGTTATAATCTACCATTAGCTCCTATGGAACCAGTCAATAATGAGCATAACATAGTATTCAGAAACAAAAACATGGAAGATTTTGATTGGGTGGAGTATGCCACAAATAATTTTTTTTTTTTCCTGAAACCTTATGGATTCTTGGTTGTAGCAATGACAAAATAAAATTTGATTCCTCCTTCTGAAATGGTTGAGATTTTTTCTTCCTGTTGTTGAATGCATAAATTTTACTGTTATTTTTGTGCGAGATTGACAGTCACCCTTGACAACTGTAAATTACACATAGAAAAGCAACGTGACCATATATTTTTTTTTATGAAATATGTTAACACAATAAATATTCTTTATTTTAAAAAAGGTTTTATAATAAAAATCAACTCAATAAAATCAGTACAGCAAGAAACATTACTATTGTCAGCAATGGAAAAATCAATTGTTTTTTACATTCTGTAAATGTTAACTGTAAAATATTTAGTCCATCTATCAGAAAAATACTAAAAATAAAAAAAAAAGTTTTTCAAAGGTTTGTTTCAGACATTATCTCTTAATCATCAAAAAGCTTCTGCCAAAGTTTCATAAAACTCTATGAAGGTTTGACAAAGTAATTGATGTGTAACAAACATTAACCCCAGACTGTATCTACTTGTTAACTGTAAAAACCTAAGTCCATTTATCAGTAAAAATTTTGCTCTGGATACTGTCTTTTGGTCATAAACAAGCTTCTGTCCAAATTTCTTAAAATTCCATTAAGGTTTGACAAAGTTATTGATGACTGAGCCTGAGTGTCAACTGTAAAAACTTTAACCTCAGACTAAATCTGAATGTTAAAAAAACTAAGTCCATTTATCAGTAAAATACGGAAAAATGAAAATAAATATTTTAAAAATTTTGCTCTGGATACTGTTTTTTGGTCATAAATAAGCTTCCGTCCAAATTTCATTAAACTCCATGTAGGGTTGACAAAGTTATTGATGTCTAAAAAAACTTTAACCACTGACTGAACCTAAATGTTGACGCCGCCGCCGACGGAATCTAGGATCGCTATGTCTCGCTTTCGCGAAATAAATTTCACAGGCTGCACAATAAAGGGAGAGGTTTGTATGCACATAAAACTGGTCAACGCCTCTATAAAGTGAATCATGTGAATAAGATTCTGTGAAAGTTTCACAAAATTCTGACTAGCAATACAGGAGCAGTTGGGTTATACAACAGTGGGACAGAATGACGTTATTTGACCTAGATAGGAAGTGTTTAACTTAGTTGATTTGCAGCATCCCTTGAATTTAAAACTTTTGTGAAGGTTATCTCCCCTTGAAAACAAATATTTTTGTATTACTGAAAATACCATTCAGAAGTAAATAATTTTAGTTTATTTCTGAAATATCTCTTTAAGAATATGATAAAATATTTAAAACAAGTGTATATTCAATGTTTTAAAAGGATATTTGGTTAGACTAGAGGCAATTAAGAGCTTGAAATATTGTTAACATCTGTATATTGTTGAAGATTGTATGTTGACCTCTAAATGTATATTGTTGACTTGAACTGTTGGGATGCTGTTTAATTATACCACGTCCTTCTTACTTATACAAGATACTGACTTATAAAACCTTGTAGCCATAAATCTAGATTGTAGCTACATAAATGCTCAATTCGTTACTTTGTTTAACAGTACTATTAACTTCTATTAATTACTTACTTTTGAAGAAGTCTGGCAAGTACAACCTTTTGTTCATTCATGGCAAAATGTTGACCAATACAGTTTCTGAAAACAAAATATCATTCCCGTATAAGTAAAAATGTTCTTTTTTAAAATTATCTAGATGTACTTGGTTCTCTAATTTTGACACAAACTTTAATTCTTGTTTAGACCTTTCTAGCCTCCTTTTTGTGATGTATTTTTCACAATTGTCTATCTATGCTGTTATAGTAATATAAGAGAAGATCAAAGTCGACATAGTCTCAATGATTTACATTTTTCCACTTACATAGTTGCCTAAATTGTTTACATACATTAGTTGGTATAAATCTTAAATAATGTGTGCATTCATTTAACCTTTCAATGATTTTGATTATGGTTGTAGACATATTTATGCTTACATCCATATCATTTGAACTCTGGTGGATAGTTGTCTCATTGGTAATCATACCACATCTCCACATTTTGATATATTATAAATTCCAATTTAATAATAATATTATATAAAAATATTGTGTACAGAAACGGAGAAATTTTGTTATTGCTTACATGCAAATTTAAAATCAGAAAAAAAAGAATGAATGTACTGTATAAACTTATATGTATTTGTATCACAATTTCTGATGGCTGTTCTTATTTTTTAGATTTTTTATTCGATTTTTGAAAGTCATATATACCTAGGCCCTGCTGAAAATGGAATAAAAGCATATGAATCTCGGTTAGCTGAGTTTTCAGGCAAAAATCGTTCAGGCATGAATTCATCTGGATTTTCCCACACAGTGTCATTGTGATGTAGATTATAGATTTGTAATGCTAATGTTGTATTAGAAGGGATTGTAACGCCATCTATGACCATCTCCCTGGTGGTGACACGAGATATAAAACCAACAGGACAATGAAGTCTCATTCCTTCTTTAATACAAAGGGTTAGTGATTCTAGTTTTGGTATGTCCTCCCTACAAAAAAAACACCATCATAAGCTTGAAATGAAACACACATCCATTAAAAATTATCGTTACAGTTTGCCTACGTAACCCCTATAGACACTTCGAAGACAGATTCCATCTCCATATCTGGTGGAATACACCATTTCTTCACTCTTGACAGTTAAATGTTAAATGATTAAAACACTAAGGTGCATCTCTTTCAAAATTTCAAATTGCTTTGAGTGGAGAAATATCTAATCATACTTAATGTATTCATAGAAAATATTTTCATATGATCCTCATTAATGTTGTTTCTTCTTAGATCTTCTGTAAAAATACAGATCAGAACAAAATACACTAAACTTAATCACTAAATGACTTACGATTCAATTTCAGAAGAGTTTTTTGTCTTTAATAAATGATCTATTTCTTCCTGGATTTTTGTCTGCCATTTTGGATGTTGTGAGATGGAATACAAAGTCCAGCACATAGAACTGGTCGTTGTATCATGTCCTGTAAGATACATGTATGAACACTTATAAATATGGTTATTAGTGGGGAAATCTTTGCTTCATGGGTTTCTGAATTTGTGGTTTGAGACATTACACACGTAGATGAGGGGTATATGTAAATGAGCAGGACCATAATTGATTTTACAGAAGTAATACACACTAGACATTCACCTGATCTGACAATAAGAACATATCAAGAAGGCTGTATGGTTGCCTTTAATTGCTTACATCCACTTCATTTGGTCATTGGTGGATAGTTGTCTCATGTGTAATCATACCACATTTCCTTATTTTTATATATATATCTGAATAATCCTCAGCTTTCAAATGATTCATACAATATCTTATGAAACAAAGCTATTTACTGCAACAATGTATTGAACTTAAACAGTTCTAAAACAAATTTCTGAAGCATTGTAAAATAAATCATTTTAAAAGTAACTTAGCAAACCAGAACACCAATGAACTTCTGTAAGTTGATTTTTTTTGGATACATATCAAGTAAGTGAATAAAGATATGGCTTATTCTAAGATTCCTCTGAGCTATTCATGATTTTGGATATTTTACTGACTGACATGTCTAGGTTTTTGTAACCGGTATAAGCTAAGTAAATCTTTACAAGCTAAAGTCATGAGCAAAATAATGACAAATATAGGTCATAACTTGATTTTTTTTTCAGGAGATGACAGATATCATATGATGTTGATAGGATGCTGTCTGTCATATCTATATTTAGTTCTAATATTGAGTACTGAAATGTCATTTGAATAAAGTTGTGGTAAAATATTTGATCCACCACAAACTGACGAGGTCCCATTGTGGTCTGTGTACAAACATCATATTTTTGTGCAATGACATTGTCTAGTCTATTCTATTTAATATCACCACATTTTATCTTATTTTCTGCACAGCAAAAGTAATGCTTCTATGTTGTAAAATCTGCATCAAACTAAAGTCTGCCCTTAGTTATTTCTGAAATAAGTCAACACCTTTATATGTGTAGCTTACCTTCGAATAGGAAAGTATCAACTTCATTTCTGATTTCTAAGGGAGTTAATCCTTCACCATTTTCATCTTTAGCTGTAATTAATATATCCAAAAAATCCAAATATCTGGTTTTTTTACCTGTTTCTTTGTTAGGTAATCCTTCTACCTCCTGTAAGTATTCAATAAAAACATTATCACATTTAGATGGACAGAATAATTTTGTGAAATATATCAAATTTCAAGATGCTCATTTATATGATAACCAAGAATTTTAAAATATTTGAATAAAGATTAGAAATTGTTTTTAAATGCAATGGTAGAGTATGTTCTTATATAATGACTTATTATAGAAATGTGAATAATAATCATCCACCTTTTTCTGAAGATCCTTAACAATTATGTCCTATATGTTAACACAAAGTTTATATGGTTTTCATGCTGTCATGAAGGCAAAACAATTCTACATCTGTATAAAAAAAGTATTTGCATCAAATCAATGCTTTTTGTGTGTACTGCCTACCATATCAGGGTCACTGTTTTCCTGTCTGTTTGTGTGTCCATCCTTTAGTATGTCCTTTTTTTGAGGTTCGTCTGTTTATATCATTTTAAAGTTTTGATTTAAGGTAGAATACCATCCATTATTACACACGTTCATTGTGATGTGAAATTTTAAAAATGTATACGACATCATGGTTTTGACACAGATTTCATGGTGAAATGGTCAGGTTAAAGTTTGTTGAAGGTAGGTTAAAGTTTTGGCCACATCAACTTGAAACTTAGTAAACATTAATATATGTTCTTTATAATGTGACCATTTATCAATGTCTTAAAAGATTTCTACAAATATCTGTGGGATCATTCAAAAATGATAGATAATCTCTCCACTGGTGATCAGTTTTTTAGAGGAAAGTTAAGCTCTTTCTCTGTAAAGAATATCCAATTTTTTCTTTTTTGCACCTTTACTTGACTTTCACAAGTTTTTATCTATCTTGTTAAAATTATCCATTTAATATTATCAAAATTTGACTTGATCACACAGTGGGGGGGTGATATATATACCAAACATCTTCTTCTATTAGGGGACTCGGTGACTGGGTGGCATAAATACTAGTTCTTCTACAGTAATTGCTAGCCTGTCAACACCATGCTTGTGAGTTCAAACACCACTGATGAAAAGATTGAAAGACTAGGATCTTAATTGACTAGGATTGCAAGCTTTCTGCAGTAGGTCAGTGGTTCTCTCTGCCTACCTCCACCAAAAAAAAAAAGAACTGGTCGACAGGATATGGCAAAAGTCCATAAATCAATCAATCAATCTCCTCGTATACTACAAACCAGTGTTTTTCTCCTTTTCTCAATAATTTCTTCAGCAACAGTGTGCACATAATCACAAGCCTTTTTAAATTCCCTCCCCGTTTTCGTTAGGTAGAAAATGAAGTCTGGAAACAAAACTGGGTTTCTGTAATAAATATAGCATCTAATTACTGTAAATTCAGAAATTATTGCGATGTTTTTATTATTGCGAAAAATGCAACAGGGTTATAATCGCAATAATTTAAACTCGCATTTTGAAATTTTATATATGAATTAAACAGGATTTTTCTCAATATCGCAAAAATTAAAATCGCATTTTCGTCTAAAATGACAAAATCGCAATAATAAATGCACGCAATAATTTCTGAATTTACAGTATAGAACATACCAAAGATAATAAAAAATACATAAATGACAACTACTGATTAACAGTTGCTTAAACTTCAGCAGTAATTAGTAAACACATATTGAAGGCTCTCACTTGTAACCAATGTGACCTTATAACTATATTTTTATAAACCAATTTGCTAAGGAATTAAGCAATATGAACCCTGTCTGAGTGACATGTATACTTTGATTCTATATATCAACAAGTTGTCCTATAATGATACAAACATACTCTATTTTTCATCCATAAAGATTGCACTTATTTCTTATTTAATACAACAGCTTTTGTCCTCAAATATAAGTCATTAAAATCTACATGGCTGTTGAAAACTTATTTTTATCAATAATAATCATCACTAAAACATTTACTCATTTTGTGATGCAGTCATTTATATCATTTCAAAACCATCTTACATACCATATCATGTTCAGCTGTTATTGAAGAGAAATCTAATATTTCTAATCAACATGCAATTCACAAAACTGTTTTTGGGTGTACATATGATATGGATTTAATCCAGTAAACGATATCAAGTGTTTTGAATAATAACCATAATTTCAATTATTTTCAGGTGGTACACATCTTAAAGGAGTAGGCCCGGTAAGACCCCTTTTTGGCCCCAAAATACAGCATTTTTACAAATTTGTTGTTATGTAAACTTTTAACTATTTATTGGAAAGTAGAATACTTATGTTCCATAAAAATGGACTGTTTTTGACAATACAATGCACATGCATCAGGTACTACCATCATAAATTCATGCAAAAATACTGAAATCGTCACAATTTTAGCATTTGTGCTAATTTTAAGAAGGTTTATGTCCAAAATGGAAGTGGCCGCATTTGTGTTCAGTCTTTATATTTAAACATATGTTGTATTTGATGATAATACATAACATATATAAAGGTTGAGACTGAACACGAATGCGGCCACTTACATTTTAGACAAAAACCATCTGAAAAGTGACGTTTTATGGCATATTTGATGGATCTTTCATATAAAAGCTTGAATTTGAGCGTCTTTAAAGACCAAATCAGTTCAAATCTTTGACATAAACTAATTGAATTGACTGAAGTAGACACTTAAGTGTTTAAAAAATGTCAAAAATCTTTCATCAGATGTACTTCGAATTTTAGGCCAAAACTAGCCCTTACCGGACCTTCTCCTTTCACAAATCAAATCCCTTAATACTGATTCAACGTGTAAAATATTTTGCTCCCTTAAATTCAATAAACATCAATTTCATTTTAATAGTGTAAGAAAAGTATTTAGCTTCAAAGAAGGAACTTTTGTTCTAATGAAAGGAAACACAAGTGTTACTTCATCCAGCAAGTTTGAACCCAGTAAACCTTGAGGACAAGGAAACCAGGTGTTGGTAATGATTGATTGATTGTTAGTGTTAAATTCTCATTGAAGCCAGTTATTATTGTCGTAGGAAGCTGGAGTAACCAGAAAGAACCCGCAGGATAATGTTGGTTATGAAAAATGTTAAAGCTTGATGAGAGGTTTATACATGTAAAAGTGAAAAAAAAATAGAGTAATCATCATTTCATAAACAGGAATCATTCGACAGATCTATCCATATTCGGTACATAGTAAAAGATACAGTAAATATTTAAATTCTATAATGGAGGACAGGACAAACATTGTCAAGATCACTTAAAAGAGAGAGGCAAAAGATACCAAAGGGACATTCAAGCTCATAAGTTGAAAATAAACTGACAATGCCATGGCTAAAAAAGAAAAAGACAAACAACAATACACAAAACACAACATAGAAAACTCTCCGGTGCTCCGGAAGGGTAAGCAGATTCTGCTTCCCATGTGGCACCAGTCATGTTGCTCATGTTAGTACAAACCTGGTGATAATTAGATATAAGAAGATGTGGTATGAGTGCCAATGAGACAACTCTCCATCCAAGTCACAATTTGTAAAAGTAAACCATTATAGTTCAAAGTACTGCCTTCAATAAGTCTTATTCAGTAAGTCACATTCTGGAAAAGGGGACGGGATTGTTGTTACAACAATTGAAATATATCCGTTGTCATCAAGTTCACTTATAATAATTTTCATAAAGATGTAGACAAAATGTTGATACTTTTATTGTTTTATTATGTTTTGGAATGTTTATCTCATTGATATATACCCAACATGTATGTGACTTGTAAATACGAGGTATGCTATCTCAACTATAACAATAAGTTCTAAAACTTTACTTGGATATCAGATTGTGTACTAATCATAGAAGAGAGGGCCATTGAAGGATCTTCCATAGAATATTTCTATATAAAAATCGATGTGATATCTAATAAAAATTATCTGTAAAATTTCATTCAAACCCAATACTACACCTGCATAGTGCTGACCTTTGAAATGGCACATAAATGTCCAATAGAAATATTTCAGCTAGAATGTCAAAATGTTATAATGAAATCCAACTTATTTTTATGGAAATGTTTTCTTGTAAGTTTGCCATATTGAAAAAAGTTTATCTAACAATTATTTGTCTTCTCATGCAAGTCATATACATAATTTAATTACAAAATAAGTTGGTTTACAGTATTTTTTATAAATTAGGCTCATGCAAATGAAAGTAAAGTATATTTAAGTTTGTAAATGGTACAAGTTTACCTCTCATCATAAAACACACACTATAAAAAAACAGGTATTACATGTTATAGGTGTTATTAAAAAATCTATAAACTATAGTAACAAAGCTATTTTTAGACTTTTTATAAGCTTATTAGCATGAAATGCTCCACTATCAATTTAAACATCTAAATACTCTTAAAACAACTTATTAAAAAGAAATGGCAATGTTAGAAAGGAAAAGTACTCTATTTTTCATCATCTTTTAAGCTGCAAATGATCTCCCTTTAAAGTCTCATGAATCCAAAGGCTATAACAACTTAAAAAAAATAAACATGCCTATTATTTATGAACCCTTGTTCTGGTCATTAACTTATTACTTACAAAGATCTATCTACCCAAATTTCACTCAATGTTTCTACAGCACAAACATAAGGGTGGCTTTCTCTAAAATATAAAACACCAGAAATTAACTCCCTTTGTTAGATATTTCTCCATCCGAAATTATCTCCCTTTGTTAGGTATTTCTACATAAATCAATGCAAAGTTGTTATACACATATCTTGGTGTACCTATAGTTGTCTATTAAATGTTTTTATTGTTTTTGGTATTTATGAAACTGTTGAGCAAATTATGACAGCATTTGTAAGATATCTTTGACTGGGGGATAGCCAAATTTTTATTACATGAATTTCTCTTGAAACTCATTTCACATCAATTTTACGTTACTTTCATGCAAACAAAATTTGCCTGTGTATAGTTGACATCAATATGTAGAAAAGAATTCTGGTATTACCTGGTTTTGTGATTTGAGCTATTGATTAGTGCTTAACGCCTCATTGTAAGTCTTGAGATGAAGTACAGCTGTTAAGCACTGTTTCTTTGCTCTGGTTTCTGTCAAGTGCATTGTGGGACTTTGTGTCATATATTAATACAACATATTCTTTCCTTCCTACTGCATTCTTTACCTGGTTTTACATTTTAAATCATACAATAAAGTATATATTTCTGAATGTGTTTTGTTATTTAAAAAAAATCTTGGTATCATTTTGTACTTTTCAAAATTATTTTTTTCCCAATCAGTGGGACTTGTTGGCTTTCAATTCATAATTTATCTACTATTTCAATTCCTGATGAGGTTAATTAAGTAAGCATATTTTATATTCTCTAAACTATATTTGTCTTCTAGTCAACTGAATATGTCCCTAGATTTGCCAATCAATGGTCTTACCCTAGTGTCTGACAGTTACTCTCATAGGAAAAGGCACATCTCAGTATTATATCTAAGGAGCACAGGCCTATGTTAGAAAATAATTCAAATGACTTGTTAGCTCTAGCTCGGTCTTCTATCTTTTCCTACAAAATTATAAAAAAACAAGAAAAAAGAAACTCATTTATCTGTTGATTTAATAAAAGCCATGTCTCCTAAGATAAAGATCCATTTGGACAAGTTGGTTGTAGTCATCACTTGTAATGTACTATATACAAACAGGCATGTCCTGAGGTTGTCTAAATGTTTGTATTGTTTTTTACACACTTCAGTGTGATTGTTGAGCTAAATCATGACAGTACATGTTTGATTTCTTCGCCAGATTTATTTTATTGATATTACACCATGGCTTTGTTCTTCAATTCACAGTTGTGGAGTGATTGTCAATTTGCAAAGAATTCCGCTCAAACCAGTGCTAGGGGCCGTCTTAAACTTGCAGTGAGGTGAGAGTTTTTTTGCTACATGTTGAAGGCCTCACTGTGAATTTGAGATGAAGATCAGCAATAAAAGCACTGTTCCTTTGATTAGTGATTATTCCTGTGCATATACTGATTTTGTGTCATGGATGGATACCCTCATTCTTTCTTTCTTTTTTATTATGTCTTTTGGCAAATTGTGTTTTTGGGTTAATGTTTCTTTGACATACATCGCAACTTTAATCTTATTCAAGCAAAAAATACAAATGATTGAAGATTATTGTTTTAACTTTTTTTTAAGCAAAACAAAATAATAATAAAGCCAATCAACTATTTCGTTTATAGAAAGCCATTGTGACCCAATTAACACACAGAATTTAGGAGAATGCTTGTTACTTCTTTGTCCTCTTTCTTCAACAACACAAACATATCTTAAAATCTAATTGTGGAGGTCCTGTAATAATTGTGGACCCCCATAAATATTTCAGGATATCCTAAAATGGAATTTTTGAGGTCATGAAATATATAATTATGGAGCTTAATAAATATTAAGGATATCTTAAAATACATGATAAAATAAAGCAATTTTGACAGATTATTAGTGGCGGTCTTAAAATATTTCAGGATATCATGAAATGGAATTATGGAGGTCATGAAATATTTCAGGAGCTCCTTCACCACAATAATTTTGACTAAATTTGTGCCGCATAAGTGTTAAATTCCCATTGTAAATCTGCTTGACTTTTGAAGTAGATGATTAACTACAGAATAAATGATCAATTTTAACTCAAAGAAGATGTGCTACACTTTTGTATACTTTACCAACAATATATCTGTAGCTTGATTGTAAACTTTGATGTAGGGTTGTAGTATATCAAAATGGAAAGCTGGTGTAAGTAGTCTTCTGTTCCTGGCCCAGCGCTCTCCATTGGCAATCAGTAGACCTTCTCCTAACCAGTCCACTCCCATTATATATACTGTACCCAGGCCTCTTGGTTTAGGTTCTAACAACAACACAATAAAAATAGGTCAAAACTTCAATAGCAAATGTGCAATACTTGAATCATAAAAAAAAAAGTTAACCTTCCATTGAGAATGATGCTAAAAATTTACAGTAAGTTTTGCAGTCTTGGAAATCTGCCAAATGTGTACACAAACAGACAGACACATCTTCAGATAATTAGACATTACAGTATTCTAATAAATGTGCTAAAGGCTTTGATACGATTTAATAAATAGTTTTTCACTCAGATGTATTTTGGTCATTTGTAATACAGAGGAAATTGAATAAAGCTAAGGTCTGAGTATTCACAAATCTAGTGTACCTTATACAGATGTGCCAGCAATTAATCAGCTTTATTATCAGTGGCTGTCAATGTATTCATGCTTTATCTTGACAGATAATTTAACCTTAGTGAGGGGCTCTGTTGCTGAGTGGTCAAAGCAGTTCATCTACAGTGATCACTAGCTTGTCAACATTGAAGTTGTGAGTTTCAACTCTTATTTGGCAAGGTGAGTTTGACTCCAATCTTAATTGACTAGGATTGCTAGTTTACCAGGCTGCCATGATATAATTAAGAGTGCTGAAAGTGGTGTTAAACAACAGCAATCAATCAATCATTCAACATTAGGTGTCATTTTTTTATGTTTTATTATATGTATTCACAATGTATATAGACTTTAGACTCAAATCAAGACACCAAGTTGTTCATATTTATAGTTGTAAATATTGCGAATGTTTTTAAATGTAAATCAGTCAAGGGTGTAACTTGAATAAGTTATTAGAGAAAAATAACATACATGTGTTATTACGGATACTTACTCTTAATCTGTAGTAACATATGTTTGTTATCAGTTAAATGTACCATAAAAATTTTATTTTCAGTGGGCACTTGGGAATTCTTGAAACTTGCGCAGTAACTTAATACATAATCTTGAAAACTAATTTTCCAATTCAATTAATTCATTTTTGATCAACCATGGTAAATCAATGAGACAAGGCTTTTAAGTGACAACTTTATAGCTGTAATAACAAGGCTTAGTTATTACAGGCATTTAACTTATTACATGAGACACTTGGGAATGACTAGGAAGCTTGCGCAGAACCTCATTACATGCTCTTATCATTATTTATTACAATAAGTTAAAATACATTGTGATATATGTAGGAGAAAAGGCTTTGAAGAGATGTAGAGAAGCTGTAATAACACCCTTTAGTTATTACAGGCATTATTTTTCTGTAATAACATGGGTGTGTTATGCATGATTGGCAAACTATGGGCTGTTATATCTTTCTAAAGTTTAATATACATAAAGACAATTATAATATCAATAGAACTAGTACACAATTTAACAAAATAACGGATGTATAATGCCCCTTTGAAACATGTAACATACATATGTTATCACAAATTTTTGATATTTTAGCCCTCAATAACAAATGTATGTTATTTTTCTCTAATAACTTATTTAAGTTAGACCCTTGACTGTAAATAGCCAAGAGAGAACTTTATGTGATGCCTGACACTGTGAAAAGTTTTTGCATGGAACAAATAACATTCAGTTTTGAATCCGGTTCCTAACCTGGAAGGACAAGAAGAAGAATCATTCAATGCTCACTCTCGCTATCTTTATAGACAGATTGGTTTTGTCTTTTTCTATTGCCTTATATTGTTGGGCTGCTGTTTCATGGACATTCACCTCACACCTCCTTCATTTTCTAATAACCATATCTTATTCAAGTACAAACGAGTAATGTCAACAAGTATTTAATAAGATACACTCCTTAATTCTTTAAAAAATTTTAGTTTAATGCAATGTTGGAAAATGTAAACAGGAAGCGCAATTTTGTGAATACTTACAGGAATTATGCGCAAAGGTTAAATTTACAAAGTTTTCTGGAGAGAATATGGTACTGTAAACATTGAAATTTTCATGTGAGAGTTATCTTAGCTCATTTTGTTGACACGTAAAATGCGCAAAAATATTCCCCGATCAAAAAGTTTGTAAGAGTAAAAATATTGGCTTGAAATGTTAAAGGTTTATCCATTAAAATCATGAAAAAATCCATGTTTACAGTGCTTGAAATTTAGAATTGTTGATCAGTACCCCATTGATGGATAACAAACACAGTCTATACTCTAAAAAATCACAAAGCTACAATGTTATCCCAAATGATATATATATATACAGTTCTAGGTCACTGCAATACTTTCCCTATTCTTTATAAAGAGATTTCTCAGATTCATGTTTATTATTAATTAAAAATCTTTTGAAAATGAATATAAAGCAAAGTGTTTTAACCCAGGAGATTTCTAGCACTGGTTATGATAAAAGAATATACCGGGTTACAAGCCATAATATGAAACCAATATGGCATTAATTAACAAACCTGAAGTTTTGAGGATAGCTCTCATAGTATCTGGATGGTGCATTACAATGATGGGACGAATAAAACTTATCCACAAGCAGTGCAGTTTGGGAAATCTTGAGACCCTCTCCATCTGAAATTTCAACCCCTCTTCATTAGGACCAGGGTACTGAAAAACATAAATAATCTAGTTAATAAAGTTGGAAAATAGGGGTGTATAAGTCTCCTACAGGAAAGCTGCCAGTGAGGTTAATGGTTGGTCTGTTTATCATACTTATATATTTGAGATCTTGTGATAGCACAAACCTGAAGATTTTAGTATAGTTTTTACGGAGTCTGGATGATGTAACACAACAACTGGGCGAATGAGACTTATCCATATACAATAAAGTTTGGGAAAGTTTGAAACCCATTCCATCTGAAATTTTAATCCTTCTTCATTTGGACCTGGGTACTGAAAATATAAAACTGCAAACATTAATAGTACGTATAACTACTATTATATGACTAGGTTAATAAAATAAAGGAAAAGGTACGATAAAGTATCTTATGTTGCCCCTTTGAATTCGAAAAGACAAAAAGTATTATAAATCTTAAAATTTTATTATGCAGATGTTCACAAAACAATATCAGCATTTGTATTTTGGAATTGTGTTTTACATAGTAGGTAATTTACATAGAAGGTAAACATTTGCTTTAGGTCTCCAAACTTCTTCAAGGGTCCGGAAACGGTCATATATGCCAGACATGACCGATTTGGAAACTGAAAAGACCGAAATGATTTATTGGGATTTAGGTCTTTTTTTTTTTTTTTACAGAAATAATTTCGGTCATTTCATTGAGATCAGGGTTTTATCGGTCGCCATTTTGAACTTATTTTTGTTTTCAGGTCATCAAGAAAAATAGATTTGTTTGAGACAAAATAAAAATTTATTGATTTGTGTTAGTGATTTAATAATATTTATCATTAGTCTGTTGTTTAATGTAAGTGAAAACAATGTACAGGACTCTGTCGAGTCACAGCGTGGGGTAAGTCTGGGTTCAAGCCACTAGGTTTGTTTACATAGTAATTATCACCACTTGAGGATAGTAATCAATGTCCTGGAAGTTTGAATTCGGCTTGGGTGTCGTTATTGTCTTGATTAAAGCCATAAAGGCCATGTACACAAATCTCACCTGTAAACACCTGTTAAGCAATAAAAACAATATGGCGATTTGCTGTGCATCAAATTTAATGTTTTAACCATTCTGACCTAGATTTTCCCAAAAAGATATTATTTTATTCATTAAAGAAGACAAATAACACTGTTGACTCGAGAATCTGTCCATTTTTATCCAAGATGTCCTATATAAAGATGTTAATGTTGATAAAATGTTTTTTTAGGTAAGGCCTTGGTTTATTCAATATTCAACCAAAAAACAATTGTAAAATGATCTATAAATACTGTAAACCAACTTATTTTCGCAGACACTTTATTTCGTGTTTATCCCTTTCAAGTACATTCAGGGGCAATTTAATTTTGTTATTTTCAAATTTACTTGATGTTATTATGTTAAACAAGAAAACATCCAAGTTTTACATGTTTGAGACAATTTATTTTCATGTTATTTTTCTACTCACAAATGTCGTGAAAATAAATCACTATCAACAGGTTTATGATGTGATAGTGACATAACAACTGACCTTTCCTGAACTGAAGTGATCAGTTCGTATCACCCTATTCATTCGTCAATAGAAGAACTAACGTAATTTTGAAAGAATTGAAAGACTTTACTACTTTTGCAAGTTCAGCAGTAAATAATGGCTCTTATTATACTTCTACCTTTATAGATTTACCTTGCTTATCATTTTAATCAAATTTTGTCCAATTAATTTGGATTTCAATTTCAAACTTTAGAATTTAAGGTTGTGTCAGTAGAAAATTAAGAGAAACTAGGAATTGTGTATAGATGATTTGTTATACATCAAAGTCAATTGTAAAACTTTACCAGATGTACTTGTCCCCACAGCCAATGTTTCTTATGACTGTAAAACTTTACCAGATGTACATGTCCCCACAGCCAATGTTTCTTATGACTGTAAAACTTTACCAGATTTACATGTCCCCACAGCCAATGTTTCTTATGACTGTAAAACTTTACCAGATGTACATGTCCCCTCAGCCAATGTTTCTTATGACTGTAAAACTTTACCAGATGTACATGTCCCCACAGCCAATGTTTCTTATGACTCTCTCCAGGCAAAGCGTCATACACTGCTACCCACTTCCTGTGTGCCATACATTTTTGTATCAGTTTTATCACTATGACAACAAGGCCAACAACTCCAACAATGTTGGCTAAGACAGAAACTGTGACTGCCATTATTGGCTGCAAAATAAAATATTCAAAATATCAAAATGACAATATATAATTATGTGAATATATAACTAGATAAGGACCATATGTAAATGAGACAGCATCAAAACAATACAAAAATACAGGTCAAGTCTCTCTGTACTAATCGTGGAATGTGTCCATAATTGGTCCGAAAACAGTTATTTCGTAGTGCATTTCTTTTAGACAATAAATGAAAATTAAAAAAATCCCACCTGCGCTTTCTCAATAATATTTTTACAGTGTGTTGTACCACTTTTGGGACAAATTATATCAAAATTATAGAAAACTTCATCAGCTCATTTTCAACATATTGGCATTTTTATGTTAAGGGGGTCAGGAAATCTTTTGACAGCTTCCGAAATGCTAATTTTTGACCTTTTTCAGCTGGACCAAATCACTACTGAACTTTAAAATTCATGACCCAAATTTTTTTACAGTGTACAAGTTTGCTATTTGAGGCATAAAACATGAAGAAATAAATTTGGAAGGGGTATAAAAAAAATCTGCAAGTAACACACTGTCTACACTAGGGACTATACTTGTGGACAACGAAAATCAAAGGATGATAACTGTGTTCCCGGACCAATTGTGACTAAATTTAACAAATACTGACATATGATAGCCAACAACACCAAAGTTCAGTTCATAACCATGATAACATGAACAATGTAACCAAAGACCAGATTTGTGATTTTGGACAGACACATTTACATGTAGCCGTGTTAAACTTCTTTTTAAGAGTTCTCAATTCTCCTCTTCTGCATGTTTTGTGTCAGTGTAGATGGTTTGATTTTACAAACTTACAGATCATTCTTTGTATCAACGACTTTTTTTTATACCCTGGTAGTTGAAAGCTGACAAAGTAAGCATATTTAGAATACATATACCAAGGTTAACAGTCAGGGTGGAACTGAAAGCAGTTACTGTTTGAAAAAAAAAATTAAATGATAGTCTTTATACATAGTTTAAAAGGTTATCATAAAAAAGTAACCAAAGGACCGACGTAAACCACCAGGATAGATGGATGGACAGACACATTGGTTGATGAAAGGCTGTTTTTCTATGTCCCCACATTGCATTGATAAAAATTTATTGCAGCATACATTGTAACATGTCAAAGTAGTCAACTATTAGAAGAAGGCTGACTCATATCCCTTACTAAATCAGATATCATGCTCCTATTACATGTACATGTATGCTGGAAATATGAATGAGAGATTAATCATAATTATTTCACCATATATAAAATCATGAAATTTCATCTCATGTCCATTTAACTTGACAGAAAGTCAGAATCAGTGACCAGAAACATGTAATAATAAAATTGCATGAACAGGTTTTGCCTTAGAAATCTTGAAATTTAAACTCCACAAAGATCTAAAACTCTGACACATTAGGAAGGGCTCAAGGCACAAGAAGAATAATTAATGCTGATGCAAACAAAGCAATACATGTACACGTTCATTGGGTATTAATTTTGACAAGAGGAAATAAATCAGATCATCATGTTCTACATAAATATCAAGGTTCCTTAAAATCCAAACACTAGGAATTTTTATGTATTTTGGAAGCTATTTCAAAAATGGAGACCGATAGTTTCTTACACCTGGAATCAATTTGGAATAGCATTCATACATATTCATTTTGATTATCAATTGTAGTTGTGATACTAGCTCAAAGATATGTTTCTCAAATTTTTTATTTGTTTTTTTTGTTTTATACTTAAAATTTGATGCCCAGAATTTTGGCAGAAACAGTTTGAAATAGAATTATTATATACCTATATTAGTTGTCGTAGTTTTCCTAAGCAAACATGGCAAAGAAAGATGTTTCTCAAAATTTACAACTTTTTAACAAATTACTAATTTTTTTCCCAAACATATTTCCAATTTCCATTAAAAATAGCTCATCAAAATATTAAGCACAGCTGTGAAAACTTTCATCTGCTTCATGCCCCTACTTTTGAAGTTTTTGTGTTTAAAAAAAATTATTTCTTACAATTTTTCATTTTAGTGCAACAAAATTATTTTTTTCTAAATTTAATTTGCCAATTTTCACCAAAAAAAACAATATGCCTACATTGTACATACATTTGTACATGTATAATGCACAACAACTGTGCAAAGTTTCATTGGGATCCTACCCTTACTTTTGGAGTGCTTGCATTTACAAAAATTGTTGACACACAGATGGATGGACAAAGTGAAACTGTAAGACACAGGGCCTTAATTAACCACTTTACAGTTAATGATCAGGTTTTGGTTCACCCCCATTTATAGCATGGTTTGAAGTTTAAAATTGAATCAAAGATTTGTATGGTCACATCCTTGATTAAATAATAATAAAAAAAATATCAATTCATTCACAATTTTGTTGGTCATGTAATATTTTGTTCTGAATAATAAGATAAAGACTGAAGCACATAAGTAAAGTATCATGACCTTTCAACAAAAAGGTGGACCTTTCAGGTTACAATCAACCATTAAATATTATGGGTGCAGCCATTTTATGAAGATAACATGGTATTCAGAATTAAGAGTATGGCTAATCCTGATTGGTCGATATGTGCACCCGTTATTTTTTATTATTAGAGACTTCGCGCACTCTGCATTATACCGAAGGCAAAATAATATATTTTCCTTAGCCCTAATGGAACTGAGATGTCTTTTCTACGCTAGGATGAGACACATGTTTTTGAGTGCTTCTTCTACTTCTACTTTGTAGTGACCACCTTCAACGCGTTGAAGTTTATGTCACTTATACTGCGCATTGCTTTGTGGAGACGTATATACAGTGAAAAGTTTAACATTTTTTATAATTAAAAACAAAAATTGATAATAACATTTTTACATAGTCACGGGTAGTGCATATTTTTATTTTATTTATTTTTAATATTAAGATAAAACTATTTACACATGATGAATTTACTGACTGTAGGTGTAGGTTGAGATGGCTGTTTTGAACGACTCTATAGAGTCGCTCATAACAATACTCAGAGGAAGGCTGTTCCAGTTTTTAATTGTTCGTGGAAAAAATGAATGTTGGCGTATTTGTGTTCTGCAGGATGGAATTTGGTATGAGAGTGTGTGCATGTTCCGGGACTGTCTGAGTGGTTGTATTAGTCTGTCTATTTTTGTGATTGCGATGAGATGATATGTGATTTTGTAAAATATGACAAGGCGTGCATCTGTTCTTGTGTGCGAGGTCTCTCCATTTTAAGTGATCTATCATGTCACTAACGCTTGATGTGTTTCTGTGTCGGTTAGTGACAAAATTGATAGGCAAGGGAGAAAAGTACAAATTACGTTAAGAAAAACCATGACAAATTAACCTGTATTTTTTGGACCAAAATATACTTCCGAATAATTTTTCTTTAATTGTAGCAAGGCTTCGTTAAAAAAAATTCCACTTGAAAGTCTGCATCTCGAAAAAGGCTATCATTGTCGACTATGGGGAAATTAATTGTTTATTGCAATCTTCAGTTTTTAGGACCAAGGGTAATGGAGGATTGTCGGTCTAGATTTTGACCCTATTATAATTAATGTAACGGATTCGCATAATTTGAATGCGTACGAGTTTAATAAGCTTTAAAATTGGATAATTAACGTGAACCCCTATTTTTTGGGCGTGGAAAAAAGTGTGACTGACAAACATTGACTCACTACAATGCATACCTTTGGAATCAATTTTAAAGGGGAAACATTTTGAAAGGGAACGAACCAATTTGTATTATGTTGTTTTCTTTATCTGTATCGAGATAAATTCTGCCAATGTAGGCACACCTCCAATGGAGTTGAATATATATAATATCCTTCACCACACAATATAATAATACGCAATGAATGTCTAATCCAATTATGAATACTTAGTAATATATCAATAAAAATGACTTCCGTACCGCCACCGTTATGTACAATTAATATATGATTTGACAATAAAAACATATAATTTATCTTTAATTTTAATCTGTATGCACCCATATAATAACCAAATTTATTATTGGTTGATAACCGTCTATTTTATTCGATTACAACTGATGATACCTGTGGAGATTCCCACCCTGATCATCAGCTTAATGTCATATATAGTTTACTTTATATTTACTCCTCGTGAAAGATTGTTTTTCTTTTCACATTTTTGTTGTTTGGCCGAAGTTAGCAGTTCATACCGCTTCATATGCAGATTGTTAATAAGCTGTCTACACACACTCTCTAGTTGTCCAGTAATATTTTGAACAATTTCATTGTTACGTTTATCCACAGTATAGTAGAAAGGATTAACTATTAGCTGAACTAAGTCTACTTCCTCTGCAAAGCAAGATTTTGCTAAAAGTTCACTTCCCATATCAATTATTATCTCCATCAGTCTTTTCCTGTCGGTTTCAAGTGACTCACATGTTAGTAAAAATTGTGACAAGATTTCAGGACTCTTATTACAAAGTTTACATGTTGGACTGACTTTGTTTTTATTGAATGATGCTCGATTCGATTGAAATATATATGTTCCTGTAGCAATTTTGGTTCTTGTAGGAATCCTTACAATGTCTCTGTCTCTATTGTTGGCTGTTTTTGTAGTGATCAATGGGTGTATTTTCCCAATAGAATATTGACAATTTATATACCGAAGAGTTGAGTATATCTTTGAGTCATCAAGAATTTTATTGGTCCAGTAGCTTTGCACTTTATTGTTTATAAAGGATTTCCATTTTGTTTTTGTTAGTGGATTGTCCAGAAAGTTTTCTATATTTTCTATATTATATAACAAACAGAGTTTTTTAATATCAATGAACCAACTGTTACTATTGAAAGATTTTAATTTAAACTGCCTTTCCGCTATTCTCCACACATTTGAAGTTTTTTCTGATCTCGTGATGGTCCCAAATAATGTCAAAATTTTGATATGTAACTCAGCTTCAATAGGTATCATGCCAGAGAGTATATAAATGGCTGGGTCTGCTGTATTTGTAGATAATGATTGTAGCTGTTTTAATAATTTCTTGTGGTATAGATTAAGAGTTGTTAGAGATTTTCCTTTTGGGATCAAAATTTCTAGTCCATAAGTAAGAATAGGTAGTACAAAAGTTTTAACTAGTGAGAGAATTGTTTCTGGGTCCAAACCGTTGGTTCCATGTAGACCTGATCCCATTAAACTATATAAAGTGCGTCTTGCTTTTTTGATGTTTTCTTCAACTGTTAACTGGACTGAGTTTTTTTCTGATTTATGTATTCCAATGTGTGTTGCTGTTTTAACTACTGGCATTGGCTTATCATCCATATTCCAAAATCCTTCTCCTGTTTCTATTGTTTTTGAGGTTGTTCTTACTGGCAGTATTACACTTTTAGTAGGTTGTAATAAGTATCCTTCTCTTCGACTGAAGTCAACTGCAATATCAACCATGGACTGTATCTCCAGTGGATTTGTTGCTATAATAGCGACATCATCAGCGCAGGTAGGTGCACAACAGTTTATGTTACCAATTTTTCCGCCGAGTCCTGTTTCAAACAAGAGGTTCAATAAAGGGTTGACATATACTTTATACAAGTCAGCAGATATAGATGTCCATCCCAGAATATAAGGATCACCGCCAAGGTTGCTTACAAGTCATCTGAAATCGTTTACAGCTGGGATCAATCAGAGACATATGAGTATATATATCTGGATCAATATATAAATCATTTTTAATATACTTTGCACCAATTCCTCTGTTTCTAATAAATATGTGTCGCATTTAAAAAATAAAAAAACAACTTCATCTTCAACCTCACCTGAGAAAATTCGTAACGTTATTTTTTTTTTGAGATACAAGTTGAGAAATTAATAGCTTGATAATCCAAAATTATCGTCCTTCATTTTGCCGATATGGGTCATTTTCAAAAAAATGTCGAATTTTCAGTACACATAGGTTAAAAATTTTATTTTTCATGGAAAATGCAGTTTTAAGTGTTTAAATGAAAGTTTGCATGATTTGTGATTCGGAACATCAATAATAAACACGATTTATATCTATTTTGATAAGATTAAAATATGTTTAAGTCCGATTTTTGCGTAATTTATGTGCGTAGTGTCAGGGTAACATTTTTCAAATGATTTTTTTCTTTTTTTTATTGCCTCAACACATCTGCCAGTAAAAGCCATAACAACAAAGGAACTTGATGCTAAACAGCAAAACAGGAAAAATAAAAATAATACTTCATACAAACTGCTGTGGGACAAAGTAGATAGAAAACGTTATCAATCAACATTTAAAGAGTTACTGGCAAGTTCACAAATCAACTGGACCAATTATTCTGTCGATGAGAAACTACAAGACCTTACCTTCATTCTACATAAGACAGCTGAATCTCCTGTACCAAAAAAGCTCATTAAGCTAAATGGCTTCAAAAGAAAAGCATCTCCAATTGTACTGCAGCTGATAAGAAACAGCAAAAACAGACATAGAGAATGGGATATGGCAGGACATCCAAGAAACGGTCACAAACTTTTTCTTGCTAAGAAAGAAGCAAAACGTATACTAAGACAACAACAGAGAAAAGAAATCGCTATCGAACGACAACAACAGAGAAAAGAAATCGCTATCGAACGACAACAACAGAGAAAAGAAATCGCTATCGAACGACAACAACAGAGAAAAGAAATCGCTATCGAACGACAACAACAGAGAAAAGAAATCGCTATCGAACGACAACAACAGAGAAAAGAAATCGCTATCGAACGACAACAACAGAGAAAAGAAATCGCTATCGAACGACAACAATGTTTTGATAAACTGGAGCATGATCCGTATGACAAAACCTTCTTTCAGCTAATAAAACGAAATCATATGTACCAGAATTTATTGTGAAAAAGGAACAAATAGCTTCAACCTCAAATGAACAAAGACAAATTTTTGCTGAATACTTTCAGGAACTAGCCATCCCACAAAAACATCCAGAATTTGATAATCAATTAATGCTAAATAGCCAAAGAAGATATAATATCATCAAGAAAGTCTCAAAGTCGGAAAGAAACAGGAAAATTGACGTCACCAAGGAAGAAATAAAGAAAGCTATAAAAAGCTCAAGAATGACAAGACAGCAGATGAATATGGGATAAGAGCAGAACATATTAAGCATACGGGAGATGAAGTACTAATCGCCTACCAAACCATTTTTAAACAAATACTGGAAGAAGGCAAAGTAGCAAAGTCATTTAAGACTGGAGTTATTACACCTGTTCTGAAAAAAGGAAAAATGCGATGTACACAGAAAACTACAGAGGCATCACTGTCACTTCAATCCATGGCAAAGTTTTCGAATATGTACTTATAGAAAAGGCTAAAATACGCAAAATGAATCAATCGAATATGCAGTTTGGATTTACTGAAGGGCTATCCCCAAATAAGCCTTAACTTATTCTATCTGAAGTATGCTCTGAAATTACAGGAAAGAACAAATTATTATTTATTACAACCCTTGATAGCCAAAAAGCATTTGATGTTGTCAATCATCAAATTCTATTGGACAAAATGTCTTTTCTTGGTATGGATATTCAATTCAGGGACATAATCCAAGACCTATATGATGATATTACATCTACAGTGAAATGGCAGGGAGATCATAGCTTCAGCTTTAGAATTGAACAGGGTGTAAGACAAGGAGGAGTCTTATCAACCCATCTCTATAAACAATATACAAATGAACTTCTTTGCAATCTGGAAAAACATGAAATTGGTATCTCGATTGGGAACACCTATGCAGGATGCCCTACCTGTGCCGACGATATCGTCTTACTTTCATATGATCTTGCAGAAATGCAAGAAATGTTGGACACTGTGTATACATATGCTGGAGATCATAGATTCCAAATACATCCTGTGAAGAGTAATAGCATTATCAAAAATATTACAAAGCAAAAATCAGTGAACCTTAATAATAAATTAGACAGTCTTAAACTTGGGGAAAACGATATAGACATCAAATCTGAGACCACACACCTTGGACTCAAGAGAACTACTTCTGATGACAGTAAAATAAATGTTGACGAAAGAATAACATTGGCTAGGAGAACTCTATACTCATTGATCAAAAGTGGAGTCCACGGAACAAATGGATTAAACCCCAGAACTTCAGTCAAAATTTACCAAATATACGTTATCCCAAGATTATTGTATGGGCTTGAAACTATAAATATTCAAAATAAGGACATGGTCTCGCTCTGCAGTTTCCATCTAAGCACACTAAAATACATCCAGTCCTTACCAAATAGAACAGCTACCTCAGCAGTATATCTCTTAGTTGGCGCTCTTCCAATTGCCGCAGAAATCCACAAAAGACAGTTCAGTCTCTTACACTCCATTTCTATGAGTGATAACATCTCTATCAGGGAAATAGCTCGCAGACAACATATAAGTGGAAAACCAACTAGCTTCTTTGTTAAAATACAAGATGTACTCACTATGTACCAATTACCATCATTCAGTGAAATAATGAATGGCCATTTTAATAAACTAGATTGGAAAATAATTATCAGAACATCAATCAATTCATATTGGACCTCCAAACTAAGAGAGGAATGCAAATTAAAAACAACTTTAAGTAAACTGGCATTTGACATTATGGAAATAAGAAAAACACATAATATATGGGATACCATTACTAACTCTGTTAAACAAGTTAAACAGGCTGTAACAAAAGCTCGAATGGCTACAGGAACATATACTCTACAGATCCATAAAGTAAAATTCAATCAGTCGACTAG